TAAACAAATCCTCATTTGACTCTCTATGGTAAACAAGGTTTGATGAAATGAGATGCAATTGGGTGAGATGAGGGATCAGCTATCAGTGTTAGTAGTCTGATAGCGATGCACATATCTTGTACGGGCATCAGGTGTATATATGAACACACCGCATCCATGTGGGACATATGTACTCTATCACATTTGTGGTACACAAGCTAGAAAACTGATAAAGGATTATTTTTATCCTGAAATGACAAAATAATGGCCGACTAGATAATGTTCAAGATGTGTTATTGCCTGAGCATTAATCAATGTTGGTAGGAAGCTAGTATTAGTCCACAGAGTCCAATATGGCCGTCGTCTGTAACTACCTATAGGATTAGAACGGGTTTCTCTATCATCAACAAGTAATAAATTTATATGCCAGTTTGAATCGCATGATAATATGTAGGTTATTGGTGACAGGGGACCTGTCCAGATGCGGCCGGAATCCCTGACCTTTCGCTATGGTTGTTGGAGTGGATGATAGTAATTGTCCGAGCTTCAGCCAATTTGTGGTCTGATGGCTAACAATAGCCATTGACACACTTTCTTCTTTTGATGCGGCAATGTGTTATTAGCATGATTAGAATGCACACATTTTTCTTTGTACAAATTACTGTAGCAGCATTGTCAGTTCGGAATACAGACGAAGTTGTAATGTTCAAGGAGCTGTACACTCATGTAAGGTGACAAGAAGTTTCTTTCTATTAAGGGTCCCATCACTTGCTTCTTTAGGTGGTAGCTGTGTCGTCAAAGTGTCACATCAAATATTTGTTTGAAACCGTATTGATCTAGTGTAATTAAATATTGTACTCATCCTTGCTTACTCAACCACTTATACATCCATTTAACCAATTACTCACTTACTCACTCACTCACTCACTCACTCACTCACTCACTCACTCACTCACTCACTCGTCCAAGCACTCACTCACTCAACCATACATTCTCTAACCAAACAACCACTCACTCACTCGTCCGTCCACTCACTTGTCCACGCACTTACTCGCTCCACTCACTCATCCACTCCTCACTCACTCACTCACACACTCACTTATCCACTCCTCACTCACTCACACACACACTCACTTATCCACACACTAACCGCTCACTAACCACACAACCACTCACTCATGCATATACTCACTCTCTCACTAACCATTCAGGGGCACGGGTAGCCCGGTTGTCTAAGGCGCCACAATTCACTGTGCAGAGTTGCGTCCCTTGGGCACGCCAGAAACCTATGATTGTGGGTTTGAATCCCGGTTCGCAGCGATTAGGTTTGGCAGCACCATACCCGTGCTCGTGGGTTTCACCAAAGTGGTAAACGTCTGATACCTTTACTTTGGGCTTTCCTCCCACATTAAGCTGACATGCTATGATATAACTGGAATACTGTTGAAAGCCACGTTAAAACAAACTCACTCACTCACTCACTCATTAACCATTTCTTAAAAATGTTGCAGTATTTATCTTACATCATGCCAAAGCATCACTATTCTTCCACCTACCTCGCCCTGCCCCTCCCAGTCCTGTTGTATATCAAATAGCCAGTCCCTTATTTGCATATATATTACCTTTCTTATCTCCATACAACCATGACTGATTGATTACAGCATATGCTAATGTGTGATATAATAGAACAAAAGTATCCCTTTGAACAATGTACATACATGTATATTCATTAATTTCATTTTAAGCTCCAGTAGATCACCATTTCATTAAAAATACATATGCAATATGATTCTCTTTATGTCATACATGATCTTATCATTTCAAAAATTTGTACTGTTAATGGGGCCTTTATACACAGTTGGGAAGTCCTATTTCTGGGTTGGATGAAAAACACATCAGATATTGATGTAGGTTTGTGTAAAGTGGTGTCATGGTGTGGAAATTAATTATGCAATGGCTGACAAGGAGTTATTTTATTTCTACACGAAACACTTTTGTCAGAAGTACTATAATTGATTGGGATCATTCCCAGAGTATCAACAAACATTCATGTCCCGAATTCAATTATTCTGTTGACAGAGTAACTAACACAATTACCTCTATGAAATGGGAACGCAACTGCATTGTGTGAAAACATATTCCTAAAAACTGCTTGGAACAAAAAGGTCAGGATGAACTTTACTTAAGCTGTTAGTGCTATTTTCCTAATAACACTGGGAGTATTTATGCCCAGCATGTCATCTCTCGGCCTCAAACATGGATGACATTTCCGATCACAAGTGAGAATATAACACATTTTTCAAAATGGAAACTTTCCCCGTTAGGAACTGGCGCATGTGACACTAATATGAGAGTCTTTGTTAGGGAAACAGAAGGTGTGTGACATGAAAGCAAACAGATGATACAGTTCAGCTGAAGTCAAGAGTTGGGACTTTTCCATTGTTATGCAAATGACACACCCTGTGATCATTTAGATAGAATTGCAAGGGATGATGTAGTGTTAGCCGTCTCTTAGAGAGGGGTCAGATCGGGTTACAGGCAACTAGCCATTTGATGCTATCTGCTTCAAAAATCAATTTTTTTAATGCAATGTTATGATTTTTGTGTGGATATGTCACGCAGTTCCTTAAAAAATGTCTTGCAATTGCTGTTTGAAAGGAGAGTGCTTTTGAGTGTGTTTTCTTTTTGCACGTCTGCTCCGCCAACAGTTTGGTGTAACCTTTTAAGAAATATCTCCACTGATTCTGGTCTCCTATCCTCCCTGGGACATCACCATTGTTTGACACTGTAATTAACATAATTGCGAATTAAAAAACGTCGCTCGTGCTTTTCCCATTTAGCTCGCGACCCATGGTTATTTTATGGAGTTGTAGAAGAAGTTTGAGATTAGAATCCTTCTATTGCCATGAAACATCGCTGGTCAAATATTGCGATCCCCTCAGTTGAAGCTAATTACACAAAGAGGATTCCTGTGAATCATGTGGTCACTGTATTTGAGTGACAGATGGTTGCAGCCGTATTAAACTACAAAATTAGATATTTTTTAAATTAATCTTGGACTCAGCTGGCATTAGTAAACAGAACGCTCTGTGAACTGTGTTTCATGGTTGGTTTTGGGGTTGCGTTGCAAAAAGCTGTATGGTCTCACAACGTCCAGGTCCTCCGGGCATATACTGATGCCAGGCTTTCCGGGTCTGGCCAAATTTGATGCTTTTGTTGGACATGATTGGTCAATTTACATTCGTTTATGAATATTGTGGAAGTTGAGGATTTATGCTATCCTAACAAACCCAATTTCTAAATTTAACCCACCTTCGTGGCTTATGTTACTCTATATAGGGCGTGAATGCATTGGAAATCTATAGATTGTCTGAAATTGCCTCTTTTCTATCAGTTTTGTAATTATCTGCTCGCTAATGAAAACAACTTTATATTTTCTCAATGTCCTTGCAGATACAATTGGGAAACTTAAAACAAAAAGTTGGTTTCAAATGGGTCTGTTTTAATGCCTAAAGTTTTAAGAGCTTGTAACGTTTTTGTGCCTTACCAGGAAATGCCAGATTCTTCGTATTAGAGATTTGAAGGTTTGCACAATTGATTATTTTAAAATCAACCAAAAAATTGTAATTGAAGTTTGATTTTCCACTCAGGATTTGAGATAAAATAGTCGCCCTTGGTTATTTTCGATTTCATATATTGATCTTTTTTCGTGTTTTCACAATGTTTGTGACGTAAATCCTACACAGTTTTTTATGCTCTTAACAAGATGTGATGGAGTTGAACCCAAAACAATACAAAAAACATGGTAATACTGACATGTTTTAATTATAAGATAGCGGAATAATGACGTCATTAGAAAGTAATATGGAAAATAGACATAATAAAACGTATCTGAGGTCCACTCATGTAATTGGACCGAAGTTGTCTTCTTCTGGAAAGCCTAGGAACAGGAGCCTCTCAGTCTCGTTAGGGATTTTATGATTCAGGGTTTTTTAGGTTAAAAAGCAGGATTCCTGGCACATTATCATTTCATCTTGCTGTCATGTACTCTCTGGCTCTTGTCGCTTTCTATCATAGCCTTACAAGGTCGTATTCAAATGTTGACAGAATATCTGTCTGATGTTATTTGCTTCCATATAAGGGATTCTGGGTCAAACTATTTTCATTTTTAAGAACTTTTGGTTACAAAGCTAAACAGTTCCATTGTAGCTCTGAACTAGTGAACATTTTGAGTCTTTATTTATTTTCAAGATGTTGAAATTCCTTATAACAACAAAGCCATTTCCCAGGATGATAAATACAACATGAGATTTTGACTTAGTCATGTTTCCTGTTCCTGTTAAGAAAGGCCTGGCAATGTTAGAATTGTATTTATCATGTATACAAAATAGGTAATATCAAGCTGACATAACAGGAGAACTATTCCTCACCTAGTCTTCTAGTCTTCACACAGGTGGCCCATCCTCCAATGGAGCTATAACTGGCTGTACAGAGTTGCGTCCCATCACTTTCAACTGCGCGTCCAGTAGTTTTAAAAGGGACGGGTCAAAAATATCAAAATCCTCTCTCAGTGAAGGGAGGGTGGGGGGAGATTGTCTACAACATGTATTTGGTTTTCAAAAGGATGGGGTTTGGGAGTCTGGACCCCCTTTGGATCCGCCTATGACTTCAGCTTCTAATGATCAAGGGTTCAAATCCCAAATTCAGCCTGATAATGTTTCTTGGTTTGTCAGCACCATACCCACAATTACAAGTTTTAATACACATAAACATCTAAGACCTGCATCATTTAGGCTTTGCTCCCTCGTCAATATGAGATGTTGTGATATGACTGAAAGACCATTAAACCAAACTCACTCACGTGATATTCCTTTTGATGAAAAGACCCTTAGAGAGCTTGGTATATTAAAACAGATTTCTTACTCTCTCACTATTCTCAGTCAATGCAGTGTAACATTACCATCTAAAGTTGTACTGTACAGCATGAAGCAATGCGTTGATGTTTGTGTGTTGTGTTTCAGAGTGGCCTGGTGATCAACAACATAGAGGATGACAATGAATACTTGTGCAACACCCTCCTGGAGAGCTTCTCCATGGTGGTCGGCATCAGCCCCATCGTCAAGGCCCCCCTCAGGACCTTCCAGAACACCCTGCTCACCGCCATCGCAGTCACCACTGTCAACGAACACACCATCGCGTTTATCGGAACAAGTGATGGCTACCTCAAGAAGGTGAGTTGCCGTTTGGGTGTGAGATGCCTGTTTGTGAATGTAAATGGCTTGTCACCATGTCTGAATGTCTCTAAAAGGACAATACATTTATTTCAGAATATCTTGCCTTTATAAAGGAGAAATGTTTTCAATTATTCTAAATTTGTTGGTGGTTAGAAAGAGTATTTTCTGCATCAACATTTAATTGTAATTGTGGAATGGCATAAAATAAAATAAAATTCGTCTCTTTGAAAATAGAAAAAAATAAAAATAATTTCATATATATTGTTTGCCAGTGAGAAAGATTGATGTTTAATTGTAGTATTATGTAATCTTAAGTATGCTTTGTAATCAATGTTTTGGAGTTACCAAATTTTGAAAAAGATCTTGATAACATTTTCGCTGAAAATTCGTTAATGTCTGAAAAAAGTAACCAACGTGGAACCATGCAAGTACTTGAATGTGAAGTATTTAAACTATGATTTCTGCCACCAGGTGGTGCTCAAGTCAGCTGAACGAGCCCATGAGTATGAGGAGATCTTGGTGGATGCCAACAGCGCCATTGCACAGGATATGGCCTTTGACCCAAAGGCAGAATTCATCTATGTGATGACAGATACGAATGTGAGTAACATTTGACGCCCGCTAAATCCATCTTCCTGCGGCAAGGGAGCTAACTGACTCCAGTTTCCACCCTTGCCGAACTCTGCTGGAATTTCTAGGCTTGATCATAACACCACCAGAGTCTATCACCAGTTATGTCCCTTCTATGCCCCTCCTATTGTCCAGTTAGATTCCACCTCTCATACCACCTGCATTTACTTCAAACAAAATGGCGGCACCCAGTCAAGATGGTCAGATCGATGATCAATATATATATTGTAATAAAATGAGTCTTGCCTCGCGAAGTGCATCAAATCACGTGAGCACCTTGATTAAAAACATTAAAAGATTTGGAAAATATGCATCAACACCAAGTTGATGGTACTCATCTTTTGCAAATTCTGCAGACGACCGAAATCCTCACTTGAAATCCATGTTGTTCACAAACCAAATGTAGATTTTGTTGTGAGATTTTGATTGTACTATGCATAGACTCGTTAGTCCAGCCAGTATATGACTCCATAATATCAGCCAAGTTTGGCAACGGTGGAAACTGGTCTTTGATAGTTAGTTACCTTCCTTGCCTCTAGAAGATGCCTACATCCAACATCTGTTGGTCATGGATTCAAAACCAGGAGGGGTGGCCCAGCCATCTAAGGTGCTGCAAATGGCAGGTTCCATTGATTGTTGGTTTGAATCCTGTTTGGCCCCAATGTTTCTAGGTTTGTCAGCACCAAACCCATGCTAGTGTGTTTCACAAAAGTGGTAAACGTCTGAGACCTGTATCACTTCGAGCTCTTTCTTGTACTGATTTTATCTCAGACCATTCTACAAAAGCTGTAAAAGTGTTGCCAGCTCAAACACCACACTCACTCACTCACTCACTCACTCACTCACTCACTCACTAGGTGTTCTACATCTGGGTCGTGACTCACCGATAAATACTTACACTAAGCTTACTTCAGACCATACTTTTCAATCAATCCTAAGTGGATTCAAATTAATGACTTAATTTCAGTAGAGTGTCAGTCAACAGGTAATTCTAGAGTTCGTTAATTACACACTCTATTTTCGTGCAATGCCTCTCCAGTAGATTTATTCTAAAACCACTAGTCTGTAAGTTTGGTGGCAGTTCCTAAAATAACTGACAGCTTTTGTAATCGTAGTTCCTTCTCAATTAACAGGTAATTTGTTTTGCTTGTATGTTGGATTGGTAGTTAATTATTGGCCGTAGACATCAGTGAGAAAAATTAGGTGTTTTTCGCAATGTAGACCTGATATTTTTTTTCTTCAATGTGTGTTGTGGTTGTAGGTGACAAGGCTGAAGGTGCAGAACTGTCTGAGGTTCGGAAGCTGCAGTGACTGTCTCTCGGATGGAGATCCATACTGTGGCTGGTGCTCATTGGAGAAAAAGTAAGACATTGATTAAAGCTTAACGGTTTCATCATCTGTTTCATTAGTTTCATCGTCAGTCTCATCATCTGTTTCATTACTTTCATCATCAGTCTCATCATCTGGTACATAAGTTTCATCGTCAGTTTCATCATCTGTTTCATAATTTTCATCGTCAGTCTCATCTGTTTCATCAGTTTCATCGTCAGTCTCATCAACTGTTTCATCAGTTTCATCGTCAGTTTCATCCTCTGTTTCTTCAGTTTTTTTATCGTCAGTCTCATCATCTGTTTCATAAGTTCCATAATCAGTTTCATAAGTTCCATCATTAGTTTCATTATCTGTTTCCTTAGTTGTGTCATCAGTTTCATCATCTGTTTCATAAGTTTCATCATCTGTTTCATTGTCAGTCTCATCATGTATCATAAGTTTCATCATCAGTCTCATCATCTGTTTCCTTAGTTTCATCGTCGGTCCCCCGCATACAGAGGGCAGATATCTGTACTTTCTGTCAGACTTGAGCTAGGCCTTCATCCCACATGTATATGGTTGTGGTAAAGGTCTTCATACAATGTGTGAAGCCCATTCTGGTGTCCCCATCCATGATATCACTTGCATCTCGTTCAACCATATGTATACAGTTAAACTCTGTTTGTCTGAACCTGTTGGGACATTACTCTGTACTTATGATTCCTGCCTCGCCATTGTTGTCATCATCTTCTTCTTCATCATCATCATCATCCTACCATGATTCCTGCCTCGTTATTGTCTTTATCGCAGTCATCATCATCATCATCATCATGTAAAATGGAATCTCTATGGAAGACAACACATTCGATATGACACCTTGACCAATCAATCAGAACAATATATTCATGACCATATTGATCATGGCCAAGCTTTCTGGCAGATTTCAATCTGGTATTAATCTATCCCAAATTATTCGCCCATAAAACAGATCCAGACAATGGCCTGGTCCTCTGTGTATTGTCCTGTGCGCTGGCAAATGTCATCCTGATTCACGGGGTCCGGCAGGTGCCCTGTAGACAATAGGCCTATGTTATTGTGTGACATCTATCTTCATCAAGGAAGAAGGGAGACTGAGTCACACAACAACTAATCACTTTTTAATGAATATGTCAGTTAGTTAGAAAATTAAAAATTGTACACACTTGCACAACATTATACGATATACACTTGGACAGAATTCACAGGATGAAGAGTGTCTTGGGGCTGTTTAGTCAGTGGGCCTCATTGGAAGTTCTTTAAAGTTGAATGTGGAAATTAACGGGTAAAACCTCATTAACGAGGGGTTAATGAGTTTTGGGAGGAAACTGGAGGGGTTTGCAATTTCCCTTCCGTGTAATCACCAGGCACAAGCAACTGTTGAACATCTTTTGGATGAAGCTGTGAAATTTTAAATGTTTAACAAATTGAAAGTAGCTTTGGCAGATGTTTGAGAAGCAAGCAGATGTGGAAGCAGGGATGCCTGTGTCAGTTCTGCTCCATTTCATAAGATGTGGGCTCAGTTGGGCCTTAAATGTATCGCCATGCAAACTCTCAAGATGAGCTTTTTTCAAATTGATTTTCATGTTTTGGGCGATCTTTTGTGATTGTCTGTTTGGGCTGTACAGCAAAACACACAGCCAGGTTTATTTGGTTATTTAGAATGAATAGAAAATCAATGTTCTAGTAATTGTGAACACTGACTGGTCTTGAAACATCCACCATGACCTTCAAAATGTCCTTCAAATAGTCAATATATGACTCCACTCATGCCAGGTACCAGAAGTGTTTGCTTCCAGTGTAGATGACATATCACTCATATGTTCAAAATGTATATTTGGATGTACACAATGCCTCTGTGAAAGGTAGCTTTCAATCTTTAACATAAAATCTTTAAGGTTGGAATTTATTTGTGCTCGTCGATCAATTCATGTTGTAAGGATATTGAATGTTGCCTAATGGATTATGGCCGATGTCATACCGATGCAAGGTACAATACTGGCTGAAGGAATATTTCAGCAAATGGAAGCATAACTTCAGCAGAGAGCATATTACAGAATTTCAAGATAATCAGTCACAGGAGATATTTTTCAGAGAAAATATGGACTTTTGCAGACATTTTTGACACTAATGAGACTATTTTAATTAATGATTTTCTTCTTATCTCTGAATGTTCGCAGTTAGCCAAGTGAGGCAAGTTTATTACATTGATTAGCATAAATACCAGGAATAGTTACGTTAATAACCGATGAACGCTTGTGACAGCGGAATGTTGGATCAGGGCTATATTGAGATAAGGCCATTTTGACAAGAGTGATATATATTTTATTCAGGCTGTTGAAATGCCAGCCATAGCTCATTGTTGCTGCATGGCATCCTGGCATATTCATTATACAACATTGTAAATAATTACAACATTTTAATTAATTACTGTCTTGATTGATTTTACTAATGACTTCTTTCAAGCACACCTGAGGTTTTGTGAGACAAACCGTAAATTAGCCAAATGTTTTTAGAGAAGCTGCTCTTTTAGTCGTGATTACTGTGTATAAAAATGGCTCCCAAAGTTGTAGCTATAAATTTCGGTCTAAAAAATCCATACAGATTCCACTTGTGACTGATTTAATATGGCATAACTGTTGGCTGTTTGAAAACAAAGGTGACTTGTGGAATGTGGTGGCTGTATAAACATTTCAACATTGACATAAAAGAAGCATTGTTTATCTTTAAGAAGGATTAGAGTTGCAAGAAGCTGACTTCACTGGGTTAAGGTATTAAGGAATTAAGTGATATGAGATTTTACAATGACAAAGCTGATCTCAAAACATCCATCTTGTTTTATAGATGAAACTGCTTAATTTAGTGGACATATTAGATTCAAAAGTGTTGTTTGAAACTTTTATTTGCTGCTTGTCTTGTTTAAACTTTATTTTTTAAGAGATTAGTTTTAGAAACATGAGCACATCTCCTATCAACTGGCATCCTTAAGAAGATATTATCGATCTTTATATTGTTGAATTTATGACTTGACATTGATTGCCTCGGTAATAGTCTAGTGGTTAAAGCGTTTACTCACTACACTGAAGGCTAGGGTTCAATTCCAAACATTGGTACAATATATGAAGCTAATTTGAGGGGTCCCAGCTGTGATATTGATGGAATGTATTGCTAAGAGTGGCATAAGACCTCTCTCTCACTCACTCACTCACTCACTCACTCACTCACTCAATCCTTGGTCATTGGTCATTGAACTCCAGTGAATCCAGACAAAATTGATTTTGTTTTACTTTGACCCTAATCCACAAAGCAAGAAGTAATATTGATCTGTCTTAGTGATAGAATATATAAAACGTAATTACTCATATACACATCCTTGACCATTGACGCCAAGAGTGGTTGTTATGGCTACAAGACTAACAGACTACACTGAATAATACATATGCTTATAGAGTGGAATATGACATTATTGTGGCAGCTCTGCACAGGGTTATATACACTGGAACTGTGTTAATCTGGGTGTACCATTCTTAGTGAAATCGTGTGGATTATAAGCTCCCTAAACACAGTATAGAGAGGGAATATAATTGCCACATGACATGTAGTTTCACTAACATTTGTACTCACTTTGAATAATGTACCAGTATTAGAATAATGCTTAGTCTCTTGAAATTATATGATTTTGATAGAAACAAACAACTCCATTTAAATTTGTTTAGAAACTGCATCTTCTGATGGTGATGTATTAGATACAGGTATCATAGTTGTGTTTTAGAAGTTAACTTTGCAGTGTTTCAGTCCTGTTTTCAGCCTTGTAATGATTTGATAACGTTTGTAACGGTTTGGTCAAATCCAATTTTCAAGTGTATACTTACTTCTGTCCAGCAGAGTATTTGTCATGCAGTTAGCAGCTAAGAAGTAAATTCAAATGTATTGGTACTTCACTCAGAATTTAACCATTTATGTCAAATTTAACTTGCTCAGCGTAATACCAACACAACCTTGGATGAGGGCTTAAAAAACTTGAAAATCAATGAAATGACTTGATGAGTTTTCGCTTCACGGTATGTACTGTGTTGTTGGCTGTGTGAGGAGCTATAAAACATGAGGACTACCTACTGCATATCTCCATTACTGCCCCCAGTGGATTAAGTCAAATCATGTTCTTTGGACTCCTCGACATGGAACTCTTGGACATCTGGTACCGTTGACATAAGCTACTGGATTAAACTCTGACAACGCCATTCAACTTGGTGCGGAACTTGAACATACTTCCACCATCTGAAGAGGAGGGCTCTCATCCATCTTTCAATATTTGGACTTTATTATTGTGAATCAAACTTGAATTTTTTTTGGGACTATATTAGGAGAACTGCGTAGTGGTATTATTTTACTAATTAATTCCTTGGGCATGGATATTTGTGGAAGTGGTACTTGACCATTACCTTATCAAGACCACTACACACTGAGTAGCAAGTAATCAATTTTGATTTGAAAAAACAACAACATGGCAATTATTATTTTTTCTGGGTGTAGAGAATTTTAGCTCTGGCTATCTTTTCAACTCATTATGTCATTTAAATTTCTACAGGGGGCATGAGTGGCCAAAACACCTTAGGTGCTGCAAATCGCTGTACAGAGTTGAGTCTCTTGGGCATACAAGAAACCTGTGATTTTGGGTTCGAATCCCGGTTGACCGGATTATGTTTCTATGTTTGTTGGGGCGGTCGGGTAGCCTAGCGTTCGCTCATTTTGCCGGGCACAATGTGTGAAGCCCATTTCTGGTGTCCCCCGCCAGGATATTGCTGGAATATTGCTAAAACCGGCGTAAAACCATACTCATCCACCCTATGTTTGTCAGCACCATACCCATGCTTGTAGGTTTTACAAAAGTGATAAACGTCTGAGACCTGCATCACTTGGGTATATCTGTCGATTTAACTAGAATATTGTTCAAAGTGAGGTTAAACCCAACTCACTCCCTGACTCACTCACTACTATTCCAATGCATCAATATTCAGTACATCACATACAATAATTATTATCCATGATTATTGTTCTTATTTCCTGTTTCATTAAACTAACATTGTAATAATAATCATATATCCAGATTGCAATTGCTTGGTCCATTCATCGACCAGATGATTGGAGTGATTTATCTACCTCCGAGTCTGACAGTGCATGAGCATGAGCATGAATTACAGTAATCGCTTAATAGATGTTATCTGCTACTGTCAGGGCAATAAAATGCTGATTGTGAATGTGGAATTGTGGGTAGTGTGTGCCCTCCCTTGTTGAGAGACATGCATCAACATGCCGACAATGACTGAAATGATGCTATCTACTTCGTCATCTGTTAATGGCTGGGTAATGATACAGACACACGTATACAATAGTCAGACGATTGCTCATGCATATTTGATCCATTGTCATTGAATATCCTCAACAAATGATTATTTTTACACATTTATTTTTTTCTTCAAATTTCAACTCAATGGTGTTCATAATGATAGCGAGTCTCTACGCCTCGCTTGACCTGTTCAGTATAAAAGAATGATAAATTTGAACACTTTTATTCACCTACGTCGCGCCATATTGTCACCAAGCCTGGTAGATAAGATCAATCTCGCTGTGAGTCGATCCATAGAGGACGACTGTTTGATGGTTATGGAAAGAAAATTAAAAATTGACACCTAATGTTATGATGCTGTTGGAGTGAAGTGTCGGGTATTGAAGACTTTCATCTCTCTGACTCTATGAATAATCAGCATAATTGACAAGGGATTAGTCGGGTTGGGAGATGGCACGGGGAAATGCCCTCAGTGTCATATCGAGCTATCATTGTTCAGATTTTAATAGCATAGCATATGCAACCACCAAGGAAAAGCAGATTAAGTCTTCATTTGGATGATTATTTCTTATGTGGCTGCAGTACTATAGATCCCTCTGTCTCAAGAGAATTAATGACCATTTACTAATTTTTTGGCCAGTATGTTTTTATTGATTTGATGCTAGCTGTCGTTGGTGGTGTGTTGTAATCAATAACATAGTTTTTTATGACATGCAATCATTTTTTTATTGACTTCCTCTTCTTTGTCAGTATGGTTGTAGGGTGGCTCTGTGGTATGAGTGTTAGCTCATCACGAGTTTGATTCTGTTTTGGATAGCCCCTGAGAGGGTACAGAAGATAATGTCATTCAAAGTATTTTTTAATTACCTGGTGGTTACTTTGATCACAGTACATTTGTAGTTCATTTGGTAGCTAAATTTTAGCTGTGATCAGTTGCTTGAAATTGTGTCACCTCATCATCATCATCATCATCATCTACCCTCAACAATTTGTTGCTACAGCTACCTTGTCCAATACATCATATTAGAAATTAGTTTTATGTTTTATGAAAAACAGTAATTGACATTAATCATTGAGTATTAAAAAACAGGAACTATGAGAAGGCAGTCTGAAGGATAACCATGTAGGCGAGTGTAAGCTAAAAATAAGCTGATGTCTGGAGAAGTTATTAATTAGCAGTAATAAACCCAAGCTGGGGAATTGTCTCCACCCCTAGGATAGTTCTGACCTTTTATCCCTGCATTCCTGTGTGGGTAAGTCCCTAGTGAGGTTAGCATTGTTGCCAGGAGTACGGACTGCCAAGATGGCAGTGTCACCCATATGAATTACTTCATCAACGGCTGATGTTTAATTTATGATCTGTTAAATATCCTTGAATATTTCATTACTGTTTTTGCTACCGCTGCATTAGAATTAATGTGAAGATGTGGCAACATATATAGCACACCGGAAAAATGGTTAAATGTTTAGAACATACGATGTCAAGATGTTATATGATAAAATATGTTTATGTGCGTTTAAGATGCTGTACAGACATGTTTATTGTTTTACAAGGAAATCTAATGGCAACTTAAAAAAAAGATATATGTCAAAAAGAGAAAGTTTAGCAAAATCTTAAATCTTGATTATGAATAAGATAACATTTTTACACCAAAACACTGGGATGTTTTGTCCAGAAGTCTATGGGGGATCTTTATTGAAACTTGAAACAGACTGTTGGTGGTCTTGACTTGAACCTGTGGAGAGATTTCACGGGAGGGAAGGTGATCTGGACCCCACGCAAGTCAGAGGTGCCTGAATTGTGGATTGGGGGGCTCAGTGCCTGACCTGGATGCTTATATGTTGTGGTTCCAAACTGACTGGGATTGGGGCGGTCGGGTAGCCTAGTGGTTAAAGCGTTCGTTCGTCATGCTGAAGACCCGGGTTCGATTCCCGACATGGGTACAATGTGTGAAGCCCTTTTCTGGTATCCCCTGCCGTGATATTGCTGGAATGTTGCAAAAAAGCTGCGTAAAACCATACTCGCTCTCTCTCTCTCGCTCTCTGACTGGGATTGTTATATTTAAAACTGATTTGCCTTTCAGATTATTTGCAGACTGATGGATAATTACACACTGGGTCAGAAAACAACATTCATTCACTTTATTCACTGTATGTGTGAGTGCTGTGTTGAGGGGCTGGAAGTTCATGACAATGTCTTGTATTCCAGGTGTGTGCTGAGAAGTAGCTGTCCAAACTCCGAGGATCCATCGATGGCAAGATGGCTGCATGGCCGAGCCAATCAGTGCATCTACATCACTGAGATCTCCCCCAAAACTGTCTCTGTCACCAAAGTTGAAGAGGTGAGTTTTTGCCAAAGTTTATTTCTCTGTCTTCAATGAGCAATGACATTGCTGGGGCTGTGTGTGCCCTGGATGGCTCTGGGCCCACTTGAATAAAACCATCTTAGCACTAAGATGATTGTAACTCCCATACTTTAACATAGGCTTACGATGGTCATAGCACTAAGATCACTTTGTGCAAGTAGGCCCAGGTGTAGAGTCGATGTTCAGTCCAATCTCTACAACCCACAGTCAGTGTTCCTACCGCTGCTCACAACCCTTTATTCAGCATGTTAGGATGCTATTGTCATCCCCCTCCTCCCGCCAAGATGGGGCTGGAATATTGCTCTAACTGTATTGTAAATATGCTCTACTCCTGGTTTGGCCTTATTAAGGTCTTGGTTTGTCATCACTATAAACTCCTGAACACCCGAGTTGGAATTGGTGTTCAGCATCCCATGCTCGTCGTAAAAAGCGACTAACCCAATTGAGTGGTCAGGCTCACTGACTTGGTTAATGCAGTCATTGTATCCCAAATGCGTGGATTATGCTCATGGATTATAATCACTGGATTGTCTGGTTCAGACTCAATTATTTACAGACCGCCATCACATTGCTGAAATACTGCTGAGTGCGGCGTTAAACAACAAACAAACAACCAAATCAGTGAGCCTGGCCACTCGATACTGTTAGTCACCTGTTACGACAAGCATAGTGGTCCTTTACGGCAAACATGGGTTGCTGAAGATCTGTTCTACCCCGGATCTTCACAAACTAGACACACTGAAGCATCTTGAATCTTACTTGTTACAAGGCCATACATGTATCTGCATGCTCTGTTGCAGCTGCACCTGACCATCCCCCAGCTGCCCATGACCAGCACCTACAGCTGCGTGTTCCAGCAACTCAACTGGAGCTCCAAGGCCGATTTCTGGTACTTTGGTGCAAAGTGCATGACGCCCAACTTCACAGATCTGGGACTGTCACTCGGGGACAAAGGTGAGAGCATCTCTGACACTTCGAAAATAGGTTTCTGTGTAAAAGATACATGCCCTAAAGGCAACCATCTGAACTTAGAAAACTTCAAGGGGGATTTTGATCTGAAACCTGCTAGCAGTGACATGGTATGTCAACATACAAAACATGTATAGGTATGCAATGAAACTTTGTGTCCAGTTAGTCAGTATTAGAAACCATTGAGCTATTTCAGCAACTCTTTTGACTTTGGGGTTTAGTTTCATGTATACTACTCAAAAGAAGTTTAAGAGCACCCAAATCTTTCCTATTACTATAGTCAATCTGTCATGCCATGCCAACATATTTTATAATCTGAAATAATCGTGTGTTCCTTAACTTCTTTTGAGTAGTATACATATGACAATAGTAATTAATCATCCAAGTCCATATAATTGCATTTACAACAGGATTTTCATAGAATTTTTAAAAATAATTTGATTAACTTCATGATCAGTAAGGAGCATGTTGTACAGGAACAGAATTAGCATTAGAACTGCTGACTTCTTCAACTTAGAGCTATAAATCACTGACATTATGGCTGAAAAAAAATAATTTAATTTCTGTTTTGTTTTGTTTCATCATTTTGTAGGACAGGTTACTGTTTAGTGTTAAAAAAACTGGTCAATACTGCCATCCATCATGGTGACAGACAGGGTTAAAACAAGCTCCCCTGTCAGAGTGTGTGACGATGCTGGGACGACCATCAAGTCCTGCATCTGTCAGTCGCTCCATCTTCCCCTCAGTACTGCAAATAAGACTGTCACAATCCCCCCCACACACTGTCAGTTCCTCACAAAAATATCTCGGTGTCACAAGACCCTTCATGAAAAAAAACTGCATCCTGGGAACCTGTTCAAAAATAGCCACTTGTCACTAAAACAGTGTGTAAAGCTGTAGGTTTTCCTTGTGTTGAGTCAGCGCAAGAAGATGATGAATTGAGTGGGGATACTCCAGAGACGAAGGAGTTTTGTCTATTTTGGAATAGAAGATGTGCTCCCTAGAAACATTCTTCATAGGCGTGGGGAATAAACACTTGCTGCCAAGTCGAGGCGTAATCGTGGTCTTGGCCAAAAACAGGTTAGATGCCTGCCAATTTAAAGTCAGTTTTGTGCAATTGAATCAAAACGTTTGACGCCATGCATCCATTTGGAGTGGATTTTGAAGTCTTGTACCAAAGCCAAGATTCAGTGTCATGCCGTTCTGTGGAGCGTTATCAGTACAAGACATGATCATGAAACATGGATAGAGAAGACGTAAACAATGAACTAAAATAGTTTACACTTGGAAAATAATTGCGTATTTCCATTTTCGATTTTTAATAATCATATCTGGTAATAATTTTCTGTCGAAGATATTTTTGTTCACATAGTGAAATATTTATATTGAAATACCAAAACCAGTAATTTCAAAGGTTGGGAAATTTGGGACAATGGTAGCACGGTGGTTAAAGTGTTCGCTCATCATTCAAAGGCCTGGGTTTGAATTTCCATATGGGTACAATGTGTGAAGCCCATTTTTGGTGTCCCCTTGCATCATATATGGAATATTGCTAAAAGCGGTGTAAAAGCATATTAAGTATCCCACTACAGGAGATTCAGCTGCTGCAGTATTTGCATATCACACACATCTATCATTGATATCAAACATATTCTGCTGGCGTTATGTCCTGATAGTAGTGTTCGGAGATGATTTATGCTTCCTGCCTTCTATTGTCCTGCTTGATCAGTGAAATAACATCTCCAAAAGTGTTATGTGATACCAACATCTGTTGCCAAAACAATATCAAACCCTCGGAATTCTGTAACCAACACTGTCAACCGATTTCCACTTGAAGTATCATTAAACTTTACATGCTGTTGATTCATCATATCTCCTAACAAAGAACACATTTACATATCATACTGGGCCAACAGCTGGGGTGTGAAAAATGCATATATTAACTGTGTGGGGGATGTGCAAATTAATCGATAGTTATCATGATAGTTTTATTTATTCTCAGAATGGTGAATGGTAACCAGATACATTGGTTTCGATAATGTTTCTGTTGATAATTTATGCGTCTGTTCGTGACAGCATTAGAAGGCCAGACTATTTAAGTATTTGGTTTTTGAATCTGTCAACTCAATAAATATGAAATTTGACACAATAATTGAAATGGAAAGTGTTTGTTATTCAGCTGACCAGAAAAGTAACGTGTTTTATAAAAATCAATTTCTGTCGTTACAAATATGAATAAATTATTTAAAATACTATAATTAAAACCTGTTAAAAATTAAATCAACTCATGCTCCTACTTTTATGGAAATATAAAAAAATATTTGGAATTAGAATTTTTATTTTTATTTTTTGGGGACACACCAACCTGAATTTTTGGCCAAAAATATGTAAACAAAACGAAAAGTCAGGCCTAAGTAGCCTAGGAAGTTCAGGGTGATATTTAACTTGCGTGCTATCAGTTCTGTTGAGTGTCAGAGATTATTCTGTTTCTTTATGGGCAGACCGATGTTGTTGAGATACAGTGTCTTATCAGGCAGCCCCCGACTATCTATGGTTCTTAAAGCCTTATCAGTCGCAATAAAACACATTATCAGGCTTAGATTCTGGAGCTATGTCCTATCTGAGGCGGTAGTTTATTTAGATGCATCCACATTCTTGTGAAACAGGTGGCTGTAATGGGATAAATTGAATAATATTTTGGAAATTAGCAGGGTGTTATGGTAAATGATTTAATGCAGCATAATGCATTTGAGATGAGTGAATGAGAATGCATGGTGGTGGGGAAAATAGCATTGTTGATGTAAATATTGATGAGTTTATTAGAAAGGATTTGAAACTTTGAATTTTTTCTGCTTTAAGAAGAATAACATTTACGTTTAATTTTTCCTATCACATTGTTTTTACTGAAAGACATGTAAATAGATGCGGCTAGGTTGTGGTGACTGTTTGCAGCATTGCAGAATGTTTTGTATATATATACTGAACCAAAAAAGTTCAGGACCATGAGTTTTTTGTGGATATGTTTATGAAATTATGGTCTCAGTGTTCACTTTAAAAAAAATATCCCAAAATATTTTCATGGGTTTTCATGAATGGTATGAACATAATCTTCTAAACACAATTTTTCTGCTTGTACAAGAGGTCTCTTCGTCTGTCTTACAGACCCTGATATAAATATATCAAATACAGCCCATGCAAGTCTATAATGTTTAGCAAGTCTAGATATCTGAAAATGAATAGAGCCTCTGGGCTCCTTTTTATTAAATTTTTATTAAGATAATTTAACAATTATTTTTTTCTGTACAATATGTTCATTTCAGAGACTAGATGTTAGTCTAGAGGTCTCTTGGCACTGTTATTAATCAACTGCCATCTACTAATAGTGAAGTCGTGGGGATTTCAGGTTATAATTGGTCCCTTGAAACCGATGGAGGTGACCAGATGGTTTGGGTGGTGAGGCCGGGTGACTTGGTTGATTGTTGCTCATAATATCAATCACAAGGATTATCTGGACACGACTTGATTATTTACAACCAGCCTTCAACAGCTTGAATATTAGTGTGTCTTTATACAAAAAACAAACACACGCTAATAATGCTGGGATACAATGAAAATATATCCATAATTAGCATGTGTGGAGTTTTCATGTATCCCATCATGCATTGTAAAACAATCGCTGTGGAGAAGTGTGTCGCATCCAACGTGTATAATTACAGAGGACTAGTTATTCAAGACTCAGTGTCATAAAAAAGCTTAAAACAATACCCACTTACCTACTCACATTGCAGCCTCCCAGACCGTCACTCTGGCCCTCAACTCCAGTGAAACCGGAAAACTTTTTGTCACCAGGAAGTTCACCTTTTACAATTGCAGCAACTTCAAGACGTGAGTTATCTCCCTTTTGGATTTCAATTTCAAAATATGAAACTCTGTTAACTCAATATTATTGAAATAAGGTCCAATATACTACTCCACTTGATGGGGACATTTCATCTTGCGATGGCACACAAAATTGATTCTCATGTCAAATGTATATTTAATTAGAATGACATCTGATTATCCCTGTCAAAAGTTGAGTAGTATAGAAACTTTTGTTGACTGTCACTGGAATAATTCCAACTTGATAGTTTAATGTTTTAAGTATTCTCCGACATCAAGTCTTTGAAAGGCAATCAGAAGTGATACACATGAGGAAGAGGATTTGTGGATGTCAACTTCTTTATTATGAGGGGCGGTCTGGTAGCCTAGTGGTTAAAGCGATTGCTCATCACGCTGAAGACCCAGGTTTGATTCCCGACATGGGTACAATGTGTGAAACCCATTTCTGGTGTCCCCCCACTGTGATATTGCTGGAATATTGCTAAAAGCGGTGTAAGACCATACTCACTCACTCACTCTTTATTATAATAAAGATATGTGTTCCTCATAATAAAGAAGTTGACATCCATAAATTCTCTTCCTTATTTTACAACCTGTTTTAAGTTAAATCATGTGATATGTTACTGTTGGTTTACTCTCCTTTGTTGACAAGATTTTATTTTGATGTGAACTTTGCAAACTGAAATACTGCCCATGTGACTTAAAATTTGATCTCACTTGTTGATATTGCAGGTGCTCATCCTGTGCAAGTTCCCCGTTTGTGTGTGACTGGTGTATCTATGAGAACTCATGTCACCACAACACCCTGCAGTGCCAACAAGGCATCATCAGATCACAGGCTGTAAGTAGATAGCCAGCCAGCACTGTAATCTCATCATTTATTACTTGGACATCGTCCCCTGTGGCCATCTGCCCACACAATGTGTCTAGTATCCATTTCTTGTAAAGGTTCCTACCAAAATGGAAGCCCGTGAAGATCCAGGGTAGAATAGGTCTTCAGCAACCCATGCTTGCCGTGAAAGGTGACTATGCTTGTCGTAAGAGGCGACAAACAGGATAGGGTGGTCAGACTCGCTGACTTGGTTGATGCATGTCATCGTATCCAAATTTCATGGATCGATGCTCATGATGTCAATCACTGAAATGGCTGGTCCAGACTCGATTATTTACAGACTGACGTCACATAGCTGGAATATTGCTGAGTACGATGTTAAACAACAAACAATTCTACCAATATGGACATTGTGGCCACAATAGCAGATGAGAATGGCTAGTATTTACATGACCACGTTTGACCCTTAAATGTGGACACTGATAGCCAAATGGGTTAAGGTCTGCTATTAACTGTGTCCATTTGCTAAGGGTCATGAGTTTGATCCTTGGTTTGTCAGCTCCATACTTAGGTTTTGTGTATGTTAAACATCTGCATCACTACTGGCTTTCCTAACACATTCCTGACACACCATGACAACCAGAATTACCGGTCAAAGCGGAATTAAACCCAACTTTCTAACTCACATTAAAAGTTTGTTAATGAATTTGATTTGCTGAATATTTCAATGAAGTATTTTCTTCAATCACCAGAGCACCTTGCCGGGTAAGCGTGGAGCCGTCCATTGCCCACGGATCGAGACGAAGGTGACCGACAACATCTATCTGCCTGTCGGGGTACGCAGGAAAGTGCTTCTCAAGGGCTACAACTTCCCACGCCTTGGGGTGAGTATCTGTTATCAAAGCCAGGATTGTTATATAGGAATGACATCTTACTCAGTATTTCACTGATTTGGAATCCTGCCGAATTATTTCTGTAAATCACTGAAATTGTTCCACCTCCCAGACCCACAGTGAAATATTTTCGCCACCCCTGAGAAAAGAATATGCGTAACCATCAGATAGTTTGAGCTATTCCGAGGCAGCAGTCTTTCATCCAATTAAAACCACATTACTTTCACTGCTGTGTTTAGTCTCTTGATGATAGACTTGTAACATTCTGATAACAAGTATCTCGAATGTCATCGCGCAGACTTCATTGGATATTTTTGGCTTTGTTTCCAGTCAACATTTGGTAACTATGTGTGTGAAGTGGACACAGGGTCTTACACATACAAGGCTGCGGCAGAGAGACTTGATGACACACACATCACCTGTGACATGCCGAAGGTAAGGCATATTCTGCAAGTATTGCTTGTCCACCTGTGGAGAAACCCTTGAGATTTGACTTGGCTGGCAGAAGCGTAGTTCAGTGGGGCTTGCATACTGCATACTGCATACTGATCCCACTTTTGGGGATTCCGGTAAGAATAGGTCCCCAGTACTTCATGCTGACTAACAGTGACTAAATGTGTATTGGGTGGTCGCACTCTGTTGGCCCATGAAGATCGGGTGTTCAGCAACCCATGCTTGCCGTAAAAGGCGACTATGCTTGGTTGATACATGTCATCGTATCCCAATTGCATGGATCGATGCTCATGATGTCAATCACTGAAATGGCTGGTCCAGACTCGATTATTTACAGACCACCATCATATAGCTGGAATATTGCTGAGTGCGGCGGTAAACAACAAACTGACTCTGTTTTTTGTGTCATTTGTGTAATTGTATGACATTGTACCTTCAGGGTGGGATGTTAGCGAATCTATCAACCACTGTTTTGCCAGGCCAAGACTCAATTATTTACATCCCACAGTGGTATTGCCATAATATTGCCCACCCGGTATGAAACAAACAATTAACAAATATCTTCTCATCTGAGAGGCTGATCAAAATACATCTATTCATTTACTTTTATATACATGACAATTATGTTTGTTTGGTGTGTGGACATTTATGGATGTTTTATAATGGAATATGTTTCAGGGAATTAGTATCCTTCAAATCTTGCTGTGTTTCAGATTGAGTATAGTCAGGCCCAGGGTAAACTGGAAGCCCTCATGAAGGTTTACTGGGGCAGCAAGTTCTACTTGGAGACCACCACACCTCTCATAGGTAAGCGATGTACCTGCAGTAATTAACGAACACATCATTTTTTTTGTTATTCCTGAGTATACTGAATAGTCTAGTGTTCTAGTGAGCTAGGAAGTAAATCTATTGGGGTTTTTCACCCACGTAATAATTGTTGAAAAATTTGTGGTAACATTTGTTTTTACTATGAAAAATTGTGTAATGCAAGGGCGGATCCAGCATTTTTAGAAGGGGGGTCCAAAATATCAAAATCCTCTCTCAAATAATTTTCTGCCTTCAACATATCATGATGTCATGATATCAATAACTGGATTGTCTGGTCAAGATTGGATTATTTACAGCCTGATTTGTATAGCTGGACTATTTGTGCAGCGTAAAGCAACAAACAAGCCTATTTAACCTGGCCTTCCTCTGTCCCCAGCTACGGTGTACAAGTGTGATGTTTTGGCCAACTTCGAGTGTGGACTGTGCCTCAATCTCAACTACACGTGGGCGGCCCTGGAGTGTATGTGGTGTGACAACACCTGCAAGTACAGCCCCAACTGTAACTCGCGATCCGTGTCCTCCTGCCCTGCGCCAGAAATAACTCGGGTAGGTATTCTGGAATGGTTTGGACTTTTTGGTGACATCTTAGTAATCAGGACCCCATTCCCCAAAACGCTAAGATGATCGTATCTCTGATTCTTTGACTTAGGCTTACAATAGTCGTAGCGCTACGATCACTTTGTAGCAACCAGGGCCTCATTCCACAAGGCGATCATAGAGCAACGACAGTTGTAAGTCTATGTTAAAGTATGATAATTATGATAACTTTAGTGCTACGATAGCTTTGTGGTATGGACGCCGGGTCCTGTTCAATACAGCAATCTTAGCGCTACGACTGTCGTAAGCCTATGTTAAAGTATGGGAGTTATGATCATCTTAGCATGAACATCACTTTGTGGGACATGGCCCAGTGTCACATTCCACAGATTGATCTTAGTGCTATGTCTGTAGGTCTATGTTATCAGAGTTAAAATTGTCTTGGGGCCAGATTGCTGAGCGGAACAGGCCTAGAAATGATATCCGGCCATCAAGATCTTCAATACAGGGATGAAGGAGATCAAAGTACCTTAGTTGTGTCAATTACAATTGATTGTGATGATGATTTGATCACCCTACTAAAGTACTTTGGTTAGGAAGCTGCTTAAAAGATCACCAAGCAGGTGTCACTGACTTGGTGTGTCATTGTACCCAAGGAGTATGGCTAGATGCTCCGTAGCAGTGTTTGAAATAATTTTAAAACCCAACAAGACAGTCGGGCAGGTGACCCATAGGTGTTGCCTGCTCATCTTCAAAGTTACCTGCCTGCATTCACACATTGTAAATATTGAAAATTCCCCCAAAATAAGAGAGAAAATGAGTCTTGATTCAGTTAAAATAATGCTTACAATTACTTGAGAATCTACGAGAAGTTATGATAACACTGATTATGTAAATTGGTTAAAATTATCTGCCAGACAAGTTTCAGGAGGAAAGTTTCATGCAGCCCAACAGAGAAGTTCCCAGCCATGGGCAGGCAGTTGCTCAGTATTCTGGCCACTAGTAGCCTAGTAGTTGAAGCATTCACTGTGTTAAACCCATTCTTTATGTTCCCTGCTATGATGTAATGGTACTTTAAGAGGTGTAAGGCCCAACTCGTTCTCAAGGACTCTTAGTCAGCAGTGGTTTGTAAATAACTGATGCTGTCCTCTCTCACATTTCTATTTCACTCACTCACACTCTCTTTCACTCACTAACTCATAGATGTTGTTTGGGAGTCTTGGAAGCCATGTTCCTGAGATCGCTCTGTAGAATGGCCCACAGATCTAAGGGATGTCTCTGTAAATGCTGACTGACTGTTCATCCCCTGAACAAATAATATCAAATGAAGCAGAGGAATCTCTTTACAATCAGTGTCAGGGAGACACCTACAACATGCCAATAAGTGTTCTCCAGATTGACATATCCGCAATTATCTACAATTCCTTTTTTATAATTCCGTGATGGGCAGAAAGACTTGTCGGACACACAACCTGCTTAAAATTCCAGGCATATCTTTCCCTTCACTTCAAACCATTAATTCTAGGACAGATCTGAGCTTTTGTCTTTGAACATGCATCTATAGGAGATTGGCTCCCCATATAGTGACACAGTCTGGAAAATCTCACTGCACTGACATCAATAGGATTTCTGTCTGCTGTCTCCCAACAATATTCATTAATGTCCTTTGAAACTGTGCACAAGAAATAAATTGAGATTAAAAGGCATGCAAATATCTCTCCAGGGTTATCAGGGTAGTTGGAATTTTCTTTTCAATTTATCATTTTGCATGTTGGTGTATGAATAATGAAATATGCTTGATAGTCGCAGCATGAAGTAGACGGTGCATGTGGTGGTCCGACTTGTTGCTATTAAAGAGGCGGTTCCATTTAAAAGGGTTACTTGTACAAGACATGTTCGCAGACAGGGATCTGTTTGGGGGAATCTGGGGTGTTTCAAGTCTGCTGTTGCTTCCTCCTTGCGGGCTGGGGTAACAAGTAGCGCTCAACTGTTTGCGGATGTTGTCGTCTTTCAGAGTGTCTGGTTACAGTGTAGTACACTGGTTCGAGTGTTTGCTTGTCTGTTTGAAGATTGGGTTTGATTCTCCAGACAGGTTTAGTATGTGATGCCTTTTCTTGGTGTTCCTCACTTTGATATTACTGGATATTGAGATGACAGAGTCCCTTATTCTGTCTGTAGGGGATCGGTATGTGATGTATCAAGAGTGCCTTTTTCATACCCGGTTAATACATACTGGTTTGTGTGAATCCTAATTCAATCACTCACTCTTCCTCACTCACTCACTCACTCACTCACTCACTCACTCACTCACTCACTCACTCACTCACTCACTCACTCACTCACTCACTCACTCACTCACTCACTCACTCACTCAACCACCCACTTATACACCAGCTATGTGATGGTGGTCTGTATATAATCCAGTGACCGATAATTTGAGCATCGATATACTCAATTGGGATACAATGACATACATCAACAAAGTCAGCAAGCCTGACCACCCGATTCCTTTAGTTACTTCTCACGACAAGCATGGGTTGCTGAATACCTATTTTAACCCGGCTCTTTACGGGTCCACGACTCGCTCGTTCTTCCTTTCTCACTTACTCTTCTTCATTCAATCACTCTCTTCCTTCCTCACTCTTCCTCATTGAGATGCCAGGAATGACGAGATACCCTGTACATGTAAGACCTAAGCTGACTGTGTGTCATCTTACCCCTTCATCATCAATTATCACTCATGCTATCAACCTCTGGTTTGCCTGACCAGGATGACTGACACCCCTCATGAAATAGCTGGAACATTGCACATTTCACTCACTAACTTGTAACTGAGCTACAGCCTCAGTGACCTGGATGAGTTGTAACAAATTTAAATGGAGGAAATAAAGAATGGATGAATGTGTTTTTCAGGTATTCCCATTATCGGGGCCCATCCAAGGAGGAACCAATGTTACAATCGAGGGCAGCAACCTTGGCTCCACATTTGAAGACATTGAGAATTCTGTTTTCATCGCAAGTGTCAAATGTATGCCATACCGGCATCTCTATTCTCCATCGAAGAGGTAAGAAAAAGACACGCATTCAAATCTTTGCAGATTACAAAAAGCACATTTAAAATGAAGTGCCTTATCAGTTTGTCAAATTGTATATTGACCAGATGGATTGAAGAGTATTTTTCTCGGAATAATAAATTACATCTGTCATGAAAATGAGAGACAATATTTCAGCATTCGTTTAAGCAGAATTCTGCGATTCTTCATGTGTCATATTGTGATCAATGTCTTTGTATGCAAGAGGCAGGATATCAATTTGATATCATTAAAGAAAATGTTGCAATATTTTGAGGAACAGTTCGTCCAAAAAAAGATCCAAATGATTATTTCCGAAACAGCTTTTGTGTATCTGCCAAACATGTAATTTTTCCATTGGTTTGACAGTGAAATTGCCTTGCACTGCCCTTGTAGTGTTCAAATGATGTGCTTGTCATTTAAGGAATACGTTATTTTCTCTGAGTACGACTGTGTAGTGTTACAGGTTGTGTTTAACAGAGGCATGTTGTTCAGTTAGTTATAAATCTATTGTGGACCTGGGCTGGGACGGGTAACTCTGGTCCTCATGTTGGGTGGGTACGGAGTAGGACCTGGGTACCCACAGGACTACCCGGACCCGTGGTTAGTCACATAATATATTGTTTAATGACAAACATTATCTGGAACTCTATGTTTAAACTACAAGTCACTAATGTTCGCAGTTCTTTCTACTACTACACCCATTCCTTCTGACTTTTATATGTTTGAATAAAAATAAAACATCACTCAACTTCAGTGTATGCATGACCAGAACGTTTTATACATGTATCTAAATACATCTTGTCCAAGGTTACGGTCAAACTTTTCCCAATCGGACAGTTTGTACCTATCTCTTGAAACCTACAGCGGGTACCCGGGTGGGGTCGGGTAATAGTGGGGTGGGTACCTGGGTTGTAAATTTAACACGTCCCAGCCCTAGATTGGACACATTTGTATGATCTGTACAAACAAACGTTGGTGGGGTAGCCTTGCAGTTTAAGCGTTCATTTGGCATGCATGAAGGTTCAGTTCCCAAATTTGTACAATGTGTGAAGCCCATTTGTAATATCCCCTGTCATGATTTTGCTGGAATATTGCTGAAACTGGCGTAAACACCACTAGCAATATATGTAACCAACCATGACATAAGGGACCTTATGGGTGAAAAATCACATTTTTGACTTTCCATTACTTTTTAAAACTACAGTATCTTCGGAACATGAAGATACAATTCGGAAGCTTCAGTTCTTATTTATTACAGAGATACATGACATCAAACATTTGAACTCATTTTCCAACTTATGACTGTTTTTAGATATAATGTCTGATGAATTGAAAGTAGACATGTATGCTGAAAGGTTTTTAAATAATGTTTTTATTACATTACGAACTGACGAAATTTTGCTAAAAGCAGCGTAAAACCATACTCACTTAAATATACTAGGTATTTAGAATGTTGTATTTATGAAAACAGTGTTTATACATTTTATGGCTTTGTTGTTACAGAATCGTGTGTCGTGCTGATTGGAGAGGTCAGGTTGCTGAGGGATACGTGACTGTGAAGATCGGTGCTGCAGAGGCCCAGTACCGTGAAGCCACATTTCATTATCAGGTACAGACTAAGTCCTACATAGACACTCTGATGGGGTCCATCCTCGATTATGAAGGGTCTTGTATTGCCATACTAAATACCCTGGACCAATTCGCCATGACATCACTGCTCATGAGTGTAAACCTATTGGATGACCAATTTTTGCAACTAACTTTTATCAATTAATATGGGGAGCACATGGTTACAATGGCTTGTGAGAATGTATTATTATTATTATGATGATGATGATGATGATGATGATGATGATGATGACAGAGTCCCCACCTGGAGTCCATCTATCCTGTGAACGGTCCCAAGGCTGGAGGGTCTCGCATCACCATATCAGGGCGTAACCTGAACACTGGAGGGCATATTGAGGCCAGCTTCGGAGATGCCCCTTGTCTTGTGGAGAGGTAAGCATCAGAAGACTTTAGCTAAACATACTATTTAGTGATTTTGTTCAATGATTAGCTCTTATTTAATATTCAACCCCGTAGGTAATCTTCAACAGAATAGGTTCCCATGGTTATAGGAGCCACTGGCGAGGATTGGATGGTGACAGTGTTGACTGATTGTGTGTTATTGTACCCAGTCACAAACTGCTGCTCATGCTGTCAACCATTGGTTTCCCCAGCCAAGATGCTCTGGTTGCAGGGATATAACTAGGAAATTGCTCAAGCTCCCTTCCAATTGCGTAAAGGGGAGGTCAGGTAGCCTAGTGGTTAAAGCCTTTGCTCATCACACTGAAGACCCGGGTTCGATTCCCGACATGGGTACATTTGCAGTGTCCCCCGCCATGATATTGCTGGAATATTGCTAAAAGTGGCGTACACATTAAGCTGACATGCTGTGATGTAACTGAAATACTATTCAAAGTGGCATCAAACCAAACTCACTCACTCTAGGCCACTGCATGCTGCTAACAAATTCCTAGAACACCAATTCTTTCGTTTTATCATACTTTAATCTGTCATGCAAAGAAGTTACAGAACACCCAATTCTATCATATTACTATAGTAATATGCTGTAGTAATATGCCATGACAAATTACATACAGTAACATGAAGGAATCAGATTTTCCTCAACTTCTTTGGAGTAGTATACAAATGTCTTATGTCTTATTTTGATTCCTGGGACAGCTGTGAATCTGCTGATGCAGTCTGAAATCCTGTGTTATCCTCATCTTCCTGACATATCTGATGATGTTGTTGTTGCAGCTCCAGTGTGTCGGAGAGCTCCCTGGTGTGTGTGACCACTGGGGTGTGGGATGCCACGCCCAGGTCCCCCATCAAGCTGTTCTATGATGGAAGAGAGTTTCCTCTCAGTCGAGACTTCTTCTACCGAGAAAACCCAATGATTGAGAAAATATCCCCCCTCAAGAGCATTGCCAGGTATGATAACTTGAACAGACGAGGATTTAATGATACACCTAGACTGACACTAGTCTCTGAAAATATGTAGTCTTAATAGAAACTAACAACTTCCTTCAAATTGAAAAGGAACCTCAGTGAGATTGGAGATCTGAGGAAATCTAGACTTGCTTCATTTAGAGCTATAGTGTTACAGTAAGGTATGGGCGGAAGGGGAAATAATATGGTTCAGGTACTGTGAGACAGGCTAGGATACACCTAGTTGCATGATGTTTAAATGCATAATGTGAAAGTAAGGTTAAGATATACTTGGTATTGATGAGGATGGCAACACACTATTAAGAAAGGAATTATACAATAGGCAACCCAACCTTGTGTCCACTTGTCTTGATAGTTTCTCTTACTGTAAGAAACATAAATATCTGACACACCTCAGCAAGTCATACTTTGGCAAGTTTAGAATTCTTCAGTTACAGAGACTAGAATCATTTCGGAGACTGTATGTTAGTCTAGTTTCTTGATGGCTTCACAAGTTTTTGTACAGTTGAGCTTTGTTAGATTTGCATTCTGGTACCGTATTCGATGTAATAAGTGCCCACGGCGATATTTGCTAATATATTGGCTAGTTAGCAATCCCAATTAGCACCCCTTCCAATTGATCAATGTACACAATACTTATTTATTCGTCTATAATACGCAGTCATGTGTTATATGCACCCTAAATTATGGGCAGTTAAATTCTGAAAAAAAATATCTGTCCTATATAAACATTTCAGGCTGTCAGCATAAACCACGAAATTTATGATCTTTCAACTGTTTTTTTCTTCACCAAAATAATATTCTAATAAGAGCCACCTAGTTAAAATTTTGAGAGTGCCCTGGGCGCTTATTACGTCAATTACAGTAATTTATTTCCAAAGTGGAATTTCAGTAATTCTGACAATTTGATTACTTTGTTATGGTGTCTGCCTTTTAAAAACAGAGATATGTTGAGTCGCATGAGTTCCATGCTAATGTCGGGAATGTAGGATTTGAATGTTCAGAGAAACAGGACTCCTGTGTATTGACAAATTTATAAAGGTTTGGTTGAGGCGTGTTATGTCTCTGACAGAAGATATGTCCTGGTTCTCAGGTTTCAAAGCCTGGTAAAAACATTGTCCCTAACATGAAAGTATTTTATTTCTGCTTCAAAAACGATTCTGACACAGAATAGCATGGGGGTTTTCTCTTTAAAAAAAACTACCATCTTTCCTGCTCTAATGTTTTTAAAGAGAGAAGCTGTTGTTTCTATCATTGATGTACCATTAAACTGACTCTGAAGCTCGTCATGATGGTATTACCCTTCTTGTGTTTCAGTGGTGGGCGATACTTGACCGTCCTTGGACGCCATTTCCGCTACATCCAGAAGCCTCAGATGTTTGCCTACATCCCCACTGAGAATGGAGAGTACTTCCCCACCAAGAACACTGTGAGTGTCTGCAAGCGGGAACATTATTGATGAATAATAATAATAACTATAGGTCCATTTGTAACGTTCCCCTCCCTTTCCTGCTACATTATTATTGCCCTGGTCAATAGATCAGTGTGCACTCAAATTCCATTCTGAGGCCCTAATTCTGAGCTCCTTTATGGGGCCCTAGAATGTTTGCAGACACATTACCATCTCATTCTGCCGGGTACCCAGTTACTGCTGGGAGAACAAAGGCTTATTTTGAAGAAGGTCTCTTGCCTTGGGAAACACCACGTGCAACCTGTGTTTCAGTATGGGGCATGACTGAAGGCCTAGAAACTCCAGGCAGAGGAACAATCTTATTTCTGTCTTGTTATGGTGGTTTGTCAGCACCATACCCTGATCATGGGTTTAACCAAAGGGGTAAACGTGTAAGACCTGCAAGACCTGCATCACTTAGGGCTGTCCTCCCACATCAAGCTGACACACCTTGATTGAAGTGAAATACTGTTCAAATCAGCTTAATCCCAACTCATTCACTCATTCACTCATTCATCCATTCATCCATTCACCCATTCACTATTTCCCTCTTTCCCTCTTTCCCTCTTAAATTATAATCAACCATTCACTTAATCTCCGGTTTCCTTGAAATCTTTCTGCATTTTATCAAGTGTTCCAACACTATTGCACACATAAATAAACTTGATTGTCTTTTTCCAGGACTGTTTCATCCATCATGGGTCACTGATGAAGTGCCCGACCCCATCCCTGCCCCGTCTTGTGCGGAACCAGGTGCGCCTGAAGCGTGACGCACAGCAAAAAGCACCCCTGGTAGTGGAACTTGGCTTCATCATGGATGGCGTACTGAGTGTCCGCAACCTGTCAGGCTCTGGCATTGACACCCAGTTGGAATATTACCAAGACCCTCAAGTCTACAATTTCACGGAGAAAGACAGGACGAAGATCTTCAAGGGGGAGATGCTGATCATTGAGGTATGTCAAACACTTGTTCTTTACAAAAGTGTTGTTTTTTTGTCCAGTTACCATAGCAACCATGTATTCATGTCAGTCACTGGGTGACCCAACACCACAATTTGCTGTGCAGAGTTAACCGTACCAGAATCCTATGGTCGTGGGGCGGTCGGTTAGCCTAGTGGTTGAAGCGTTCACTCATCACGCCTAAGACCCTGGTTCGATTCCCGACATGGGTACAATGTGTGAAGCCTATTTCTGGTATCCCCAGCCGTGATATTTCTGGAATATTGCTAAAAGCGGCATTAAACCATACTCACTCACTCACTCCTGTGTCGTATGAGTTTGAATCCCAATTTCAAACTGATTGTATCTGGTTTGTCTGCACCATACCATGCTTGTAGTTTCACTTATGTTGAAAGTTGACTGCATCACTTCGGGGGTTCCTCTACATGTAGCCGATACACTATAATATTACTTAAATACCTTATAAAGTAATGTTGAGCCAAATTTTGTATAAACTTCAAGACTTTGCTAGGAGTTATGGCACTTTTTTTGTTACACCTTATTATAAATGTAGCCAAAGTTACATTTCTCTTACATTGCTGTCTTCTCAAAGAGATGTTTTAAATGTAGGTTACTAGATTAATGAGCATTTTGCATATCTATGTCTTAAGATTCCATATTCCTGTTACCATAGTGATGAAGAAAAAAGAATCTGAATATGCTGATTCAGAAAGGAAAATAATACACTGTTACATGCTGTAATGAAGGTGGCACTTTTCATTCCAGGGCCACCATCTGACATTGGCAGCCGATAAGTATGATGTCGTGGTTCTGATTGGCCAGCAGCTGTGTAATGTCACCACCCTGTCATCCAACCAGATTGTGTGTGCCCCGCCCCCTAAACAACCCCCAGGGATCAACGGGGATGGGAAAGAAGATGGCAGGGAATACCCCGATGTCTATGTGAGTAGCAGATGACCTATAAAGTAACGTAATGTCTGGGTTAGAATTGGCCCTCTGGGCCCCGTTCCACAAGGCATTCTTAGCGCTAGGGTGATCGTTACTCCCATACTTTAACATATGACAGTCGTAGCACTAAGTTGCTTAGTGCAAAAGGGCCCAGTGACCTAGGCTGGTCGTATGAATCAACCAACTGGAACGGGTGGTCAGGCTTCGTGATTTTGTTGATTGTGTGTCTGATGGCATGGATCGTTGCTCACAATATCGATCACTGGATTATCTAGTCCAGACTCGATTATTTACAGACCATCGTCATACAGCTGAAATAGTGCTGAGTGGGGTGTTAGACAACAAAGTCAGGTTTATGGGATAGCTACTGTTATCAAGTCCCATGGGACACTTGATAAGCCAGGACTGTTACTCATGTTACATATACAGTGTCAGAAGCATCCTTTCCTCCTGAGATGAGGCTAGCGCTGAGTATGGATTTTGCTAATTGCTGTCAATTAGACCTTGTTTCTTTGTCCAATAATCTATAAGTTGATGAGAGTCATGTTGTAATTCTCACGATGTGTTGTTCAGATAGGTCTATATTGTGACATGGCCATGACATCGGCTGATGTTACTTGGTTCTTGGTTAATCAGAACCTGTTCATGCCATGACAAATCCATAGTATAGTGTAGTAAACCCTTGAAGATCCGGGTTCGAATAGGTCTTCACATGATTGCTGCAAAAAGCGACTATTCTTGTCGTAAGAGACGATTAGCAAGATCGGGTGGTCTGGCTCGCAGATTTGGTTGATGCATGTCATTGTATTGCAATTGGGTGGATGGATTCATGATGTCAGTCATCAGGCTTGTCTCCTGCACCAAGCTGACACGCTGTCTTAACACAGAGACTATGTTCAAAATGGCCTTATTGACCTGATTATGTTTCTAGGTTTGTCAGCACCATCGTGAGTTTCACTGAAGTGGTAAACGTCTGAGACCTGCATCACTTCAGGTTTTCCTGCCACATTAAGCTGACATGCTGCGATATAACTGGAATACTGTTAAAAGCGGCGTTAAACCCAACACTCTCTCACTCTCTCTCTCACTCACTCACTCACTCACTCACTCACTCACTCACTCACTCACTCACTCTCTCTCTCTCTAACCTTTATTTTGTTTCCAGGTGAAGGTCAATAACCTGAGTTTCCATGTGGGCCGTGTGAGGTATGATGTTCCAGAGCAGTACAGCTTCCCGAAGGAGGCCATTGCGGGCATCGCGGCCAGTGGTGGGTTCCTTCTCCTCATCATCATCCTCATCCTCATCATCTACAGACGACAGAGCACCAAGGCCGAGCGCATCTACCGCAAACTGCAGATACAGCTTGATAACCTTGAGAGTAACGTTCGTAATGAGTGCAAACAAGGTAGGTTGCCCCCTGGATGTTGTCAGAGTGTCGTAATATATGACCCACCAGGAGAAAAGGGACCTTATGGGTGCTAGGAAACATTTGTGCAACGACGTCATAAAGACTTTTGATGTCAAGTTACTTCAGTGAAGATCGCCATGTGTTCCGTTACCATGTATTTTTGTTTCGTAGATACTGCAGTTTTAAAATATAATGAAAAGTCAAAACATGTTTTTCCACCAATTAGGTCCCTTATCTCATTGTTGGTCAATATTCATATACAAATGTATGGGAATGTTCAATAAATAGTTCAAAAATGGCAAAATAATTAACAATTCTGAGGTAATGGCTTTCAGCATTTGGTAAGAGAAGCAAACAAATAAATAACTATATTTTCCTTATTGCAAAAGTAAATTGTATTTTCGGCAGCCTTAGAAAGTATTTCAAGTTATCTGTATTTTAATATAGCTAAAGGCTGATATTATATTATTATATTATATTATTATATGCCCTACCACTATTACATCATAGCCATCAATTCCTGTTTTGGTTGTCAATAACGCAAGAAAATCTTTGAAATTTTCAACAGATGTCCTCTTCACTGCCAACAAATCTGTTAGTTGTGAGGATAACACTATTATATTATATATCTGTAATTGATGAAGATTTTCCCATGACCATGAAGTTGCATTGTGTTTAACAATGCAGCATGTATTTTTATGGAGTTAATAATAAGATTTTATTGAATATACATGCTTATCATTCATTCAACATAAAGACTGATGGTGATACTCTTCCGGTTTCAGCTTTTGCTGAGCTGCAGACTGACATGACAGATTTGACAGGTGACATCATAGCAAGCGGTATACCATTTTGGGACTATCACACCTACACGTTCAAGGTGCTGTTTCCAGGGATGTCTGACCATGTGATCCTTCATCCACCCCTGGTACGTCATCCTCATCCTGCTTCATCATCAGAATCTGTCCATCACTGACGTAACAGGAATTGATAATTAGTGGTAACATAAAGTGCTGTATTGAACATTGAATCTTGTTTCTGGATAGAGCGTTTTCTGCCTAAACCGTGGTTCGATGATAAAGTGGATGGGAGTGTTTAAATATATGGATTATGTTTTCAGCAAAAGAATGGCCGTATCAAGTTCTCGGATCAAGGCCTGGTGTTGTTCCAGCAGCTGCTCAGCAAGAAAGTTTTCCTGTTGACCTTCATCCGGACGATGGAGGACCAGAGAGGCTTCTCCATCAGAGACAAGTAGGCACTCTATGTGACTATATGAGTAGACTGTACAAGCCTGTCATTATATTGTCTACATGTTATGATTGGAATACAGCAGTGACATCTGACATCCTGTGTCATTTCATTGACGTTTTATGACGTTGGTCTCCATCAGATGATGATGATCATCATCATCATCATCATCATCTGATGGAAACCAACAGTCATAAAATGACTCATCATCCTAATTTGTTATATTATTATCATCATCATCATCATTATTATTATCATAATTATCATTACTATTATTATTATATCTGAAATCAGATAAGGAAGGATGTTGTAAACTGTAGTAACATTGTTTAGTGACTTCAATGTGAAAATGAAGCCCATGGATGAAAGAAGAATCATTTAGCTGACCCTACTAGACGCAAACATATTTGACATTTTGGGCCCCGCTGTTCTAAGCGCCCAAGAGGATTGTCATGCAATAAGTCATGTTCTCAATCAGTGCCTCCCCAAGCCACACAGTGCCCACCTAATCTGATTGAGACAGACGCTGTAGACAAAATGCCACTCTCTTTAACGCATTTTAGAGTCGAGAGATCATCATTATATTGTCTACATGTTGTGATAGAAGTAGTGGAGTGATAAGGGCTGACATCTGACATCCTTTGGCAATTCGTTGGCTTTTTATATAAGCTGTTTGATGTATAAAACCACAATGCATTGTCTTTGGGACCATTTGAAATATATCAATGTATTTAAAGCTCAAGACTTGGTATTAATGATTTCACTTGGGGGTCATTGTCGCAAATGGTATTTCGAATGAACAGAGTGGAGTTTGTTCAGTCTCTCTGTAGTATTCATTTAGTCCTTAATGTAATGAATACTGTACTGCTTAAGTCTATAGTTGAATTTCAGTACTGTTAAAATTTATACCATCTTCCCGAGGCAAGAGAGTTAACTGACTATAAAAGTCCAGTTTCCACCCTTGCCAAACTAAGCTCGTATTGTGGAGTTACATTTTGGCTGGAGTCTATGCATAGTCCAATCGAAATCACGCACCAAAATCGAAATCCGGTTCGTAAACTGATATGCAGATTTCGGTCGATTGCAGGATTTGCAAAGCATGTGCACCGCCAACTCGTCGGCAGATATTTTCCAAATCTTTTCAAGTTTTTAATTAAGGTGCTGGCGTGATTTGATGCATTGTACGATGTAAGACCCGTTTTATCACAATATAAATCTTGATTATCAATCAGATTGTCCTGACTGGGTGCCACCATTTTGTGTGAAACAAACAGAAGTGATACGAGAGGTGGAATCTGATTGGTCCATAGGAGAGGCTAAGAAGGGACATAATTGGTAATAGCCACTGATGGCGCTACAATCGAGCCCAGTAATTCCAGCCTAGTTCGGCAAGGGTGGAACCTGGACTTTTAAAGTCAGTTAACTCTCTTGCCTCGGGAAGATGAGCTTATACTGGCAGATCCAAAATTGGGGTGCATGAGATGCTGATTGACGTACCCCATACATTTCAGTCATTGTGCTTTTGTTTTGTGGTCGACAGTAATTGAAGATATCCTTTTTCCCCTCAGAGTCAATGTGGCGTCCCTCCTGATGATTATCTACCAGGGCAATATGGAGTATGCAACAGAGTAAGTACTGAAACCAGAACAGAGGAAGCAAAATATTTCCGATGCAAAGAAGGCCTAAAATGGAGATTTGTGAGACACACCCTGCCTCCATGGTGTAGTGGATAGTGGACCCATGAAGATCCTGGGTAGAATAGGTCTTCAGCAACTATGCTTGTCGTAAAACGGGATCGGGTGGTCAGGCTCGCTGACTTGGTTGATGCATGTCATCGTATCCCAACTGCGCCTATTGATGCTCATGATATCAATCATTGGTCTGGTCCAGACTCGATTATTTACAGACCGCCGTGATATAGCTGGAATATTGCTGAGTGTGGCGTTAAACAACAAACAAAGCAAATAAACAAAGTGGATAGCGTTCTGCAAAGAGAAGAGGTCGGTTGTTCAATATCCTGGCCACATCATACCAAAAGATTATACTTGTTGTTACCTTGCCTGGTGCTTGGCATTAAGGGGATATGTGATATCATGAATGAAGCATGAAGAAACCATTGTACCTAAACTTTTAAAAAAGGAATACAGAAGGGGATAAATTTTTTTACATTGAAAGGTCTAAATACTAATACTATCTTGATTGGGTCTTGATAGTCTTAGATATTGGCTTGATATGGCTTGATCCATGGCCTGTGTTGCCTTCTGTATGTTGACCGTGTTAATCCACGTTTGTTCCAAGACAAGGGGAACACAGACAATTAGCAGCCGAAATCAATAGCTTTAGTATTGCTGTCTGCCGATTAGCTTCCGATGAAATTGACCTAACTAAAGACCTCGATTGTCTGTAATTACTTTAGTCTTCTGGAAAGTAACAATTAGTTGTGTAGTAATTACTTGAAAACTGATTCACACACACTCGTCTGATTTCAAATATACAAATCAGATCAGTCGTTGGATATGAGGAACTGGAGTACCTTTTTTTTCATGATATTTTGTAAATGTTTTAAAATAAATTTTCTTTTGTTCTCAGAATTTTGAAATGCCTGTTGGTAGAACTGGTGGAGAAGTCTGTGTCGGGGCGACACCCCAAACTGATGCTGAGAAGGTAAGAATTGGAATTTCCTCATTGGCCATTTGGGGGAAATCAGGTCCACCAGTCTATAGTAAAACAAAAATTTGTATACAGTGAAACTTCATGAATCTGAAATCCCCACCTTGTGGACAATTACTGCTGGGGACACTAACATGGATACAAAGTGTACCTTCTTTCGTGACCATGAATCGTTCAGGGTGGCCCAGTCGTCTAGGGCGCCACGATACTCTGTGCAGAGTTGCGTCCCTTGGGCATGCCAGAAATCTATGATTGTGGGTTTGAATCCAGGTTCGCCCCGATTATGTTTCTAGGTTTGCCATACCTGTGCTTGTGGGTTCCACTTGGTGGTAAATGCCTGAGACCTGCATCACTTCGGCCTACAACATTAAGCTGACACGCCGTGATGACACACGTACACGCACACGCACACGCACACACATATGAATCGTTCATCCTGAAATTTGTTAATCCAGACATTCTATCGGGAATGTCATGTTCAGATAAATGAGGTTTCACTGTATAGAGGGCCATGCAATTTGAGGACATGGAAATGATTTCTGTCCACACAGCTGTGGTTGTCATTAGAGCAATGGAGTGTGGATAATTGCTGCATGTGTCCAAAAACTGTTCATGTCGTCTCTGCAGGCACAATAATTGAATGTTCAAATACAATTGTTTTTCAATTAAATATTTTTAAATGAATTGCTTTCGAAAATGACAACTAAGTGAATCAATTTATACATCTGGTACATTCAATAATATTCACGATTTAGGTAATAAATTATTTTTGATGTGTGAATTAAATGCAGCATATGATTTCATTATAGTCTCATGTTTTTTAATGAGAAGTTAATTAAATCTGAGCAGAAACATTGCATTTCCTTGGTTTGAAGCTCATAAGTAATTTTCCATTAATTTGATAGTATTAGTAAATTGGGTTATTCAGATGTGAGCATCGTGACCTTCCGAACAGTACTGAGTCAATCTGTTCGCTTTAATCTTATTTTACTGCTGCCAGTCTCTTAACAAGTGCATAAAATCAATATCGATCAAATCTCAACCTTTTTCGTTGTAAAATATATCAAGATTACAGGGCTGGGGATATGTTAGAAAAAGAACAATTTAATAATTAATTGTGTGTTTGATCGAAATGGGTTTGTGTTTTCAGGACAGAGTCGGTCGTAGAAAAGTTACTTAGCAACTGGATGTCGCTGTGTCTGTACAAGTATTTGAAGGTAACAGTGACATAATTGCTCTTTTCATATCCATGAAATATTCATGTTAGACTATCCTTGCGATGTGTGTTCATTTAATTTAGGCATAAATGTGATGTTATTTTAATGGAAATTTTCCCTTCGATTTTTATCACCGATATAATAATATTTTCTTTGAAAATCATCTTCTATTTGTGTTAAGGGCTTTCTAGTTCTTTTATCATCTTGCTTCTGTCTCAAAATTATTATTTTTTTGTCTTAACTGCCCCATGAGAACTTTTACATTTGAGTTGTTTTATGTTATTTTGATATGGTTTACTATTTCACATTTTTTGGCCAAAGCACCTTGCATGTTATTTTGATACTGTCTTTTCTTTGTCCAAGCCTCCCTGCTGCCTTTTTTAACCTGGCAGCACGTTGTGTTTTATCATAATACTTCAGCTTATTCCTGACATAAATATTTAGCCAAATATTTTTTCAATATGGAAGCCTGTCATCATTATCAATGTTGCAATTTATACAATGTATTTTCTTGACCGAAAATATGTTTACGTTGTGTAACACATACCGCATTTCACCTAATAAACGACCTGACAGAAATCACGAGGACATCCACAGATTTAGTGAGTGTAGGATGCGTGTTCCCTGCTTTTTAATGCATACTGAACATGTATATGTATACAAGACATGTGAAAATGTATACAGTCTGCGACTTTAGCCAATAGCCCAAAGCCCAAGTTTAGTAAATTTGTGTTTGGGCAAGTAAGCTCAGCTGATAGTAGTCCATTATAATAACAGTAAAATCTACTGACAATGATGAGTTCCAATAATTACTAAGTCACTCTACATTCAGGGCGGTCGGGTAGCCTAGTGGTTAAAGCGTTTGCTTGTCACGCCGAAGACCTGGGTTCGTTTCCCGACATTGGTACAATGTGTGAAGCCTATTTCTGACCCGCCATGATATTGCTGGAATATTGCTAAAAGCAGCGTAAAACCATACTCACTCACTTACTCTACATTCATAATATTGGTAAAAGTATAGGGGTTCTTTTTTACATTGAATATGGTATCAGTGCTTTGTTCTTGATCCTATTTCCAAGCTGTTGCCAAAACATGATTACCGGCCAGCTGAAATGATATCCAAATAAACACAAGGCATTACATCATGTGAGGTGTATCAGTAACACTGGTGTAATGTTATCTTGCAGGATCATGCCGGCTCTCCTCTGTTTATGTTATACAAAGCAATAAAGCTACAGGCGGAGAAGGGACCAGTTGATTACGTGACAGGAGATGCCAGATACTCTCTGTCCGAGGATAAACTGCTTAGAGAGAAAATAGAGCCCAAAGTGATGGTAAGAATCGATCCATGTTTCACAAATCCAAGAAAACACTCCACTGTATTGCTGTATCTTGAGTCCAGCGATTGATCATAGTCGAGAAGTTCACAAAAACACAATAACCATTCTTGTTGAATCAAGAAACAGGACAAGAATTAGTTGATGTTGAGTAAACACAGCATCCTGCAGCTGTAACGGAAACCACAACAAGAATCTCCACTTGTTTCACTGTTTTCTGCCCAATTGCATAACTTATGTTTTTAGGATTCTTGGAATGTGTTCATGGTTTTGGAATTGGCTTAGAATTGCAGTAGATATATTTTTGGCAGAAATATATCTTTAATCTGTTATTTTGAAGTTTGTGACAATATAATCCTTGTTTGAGGAATCTGAGGTGATATTCCTTATTATGTCTAGAAGCTGCTCAAGAATTGATCCTTACTTAAGAAATTTGGCAAAAAGTAATTACCACAGATCTTGTTTTGGTTATGGCTGGGAACCATGCTTTAGAATCTTACCCCAAACCGCAATAACAAGCACCTGTTGTTTCTGTGACTCACAAGATATTCATTGCTGCCCATGCCAATGTCAAGGTCAGGTGAAGGGTAAGGGTCAGCTTGATATTTTGAAATAACAGTAAAAGTTGTTTGAATTATCTTAAGGAATGTATTAATGTGAGGCTGACTGATTGGATATGCTATTAGATGTTTGAAGTATATTGGTTTCTTCCTTTAGAGAAAGTAGCTGTTTAAGCCATTGTGCTTGATTAGATTCAAGTCTGATTATGTTTGTGCCTCAAGAAATAAGACTGTTTGTCTTATGATATGAATGTGGTGTCATTTCGATGAGGATTCTCTTGAAATAGTTTTGAAAAAACAACCATTTCGCAGCATCATTGACGATTTATGTCCATTAAAGTGGCATGAGTGACCCAGTTGTCTAAGGCACTGCAATTTGTTGTGCAGAGTTGTGCCCCTTATGTATACCAGAATCCTATGATCATGAGTAGAATCCCAGATTCACGCTGATTATGGTTCTAGATTTGTCAGCACCATGCCCAAGCTCGTGGATTTCACAAAAGCTGGCTTTTCTCCTACATCTAGCTAACGATTCTAACCCAGGTCTTCACTGTGGAGACAAGCATGGGTTGCTGAAGACCAATATGTAGGGCGACAACAATATTTCAAGGTGATGTCAATGTGTCTTTTTGTGTGTATGCTTCAAGGGTACTGTTTAAATGCTTGCTGTTTTTGCAGACACTCAATGTGGAGCATAATGGCGAGATCAGCCAGTGCCGTGTCCTCGACTGTGATACCGTAACCCAGGCCAAGGAAAAGATGCTGGACATGCTGTGTAGAAACGTTCCCTTCTCACAGCGGCCGTCCGTACAAGATTTAGATCTAGGTATGTGGAAATGTTCCCTTCTTACAAGACTGTCCGTACAAGACTTAGATCTAGGTATGTGGAAATGTTCCCTTCTTACAGTACTGTCCTTACAAGACTTAGATCTAGGTATGTGGAAATGTTCCCTTCTTACAGTACTGTCCTTACAAGACTTAGATCTAGGTATGTGGAAACGTTCCCTTCTTACGGGACTGTCCGTACAACATGATCTAGGATTCTAGGTATGTTGAAACATTACCTTCTCACTGCGGCTCCCTGTTCAAAACATAGATCTTTAGCCAATCATATTGACTCTACAGGCTTTGAAAAAAATGAAACAATTTTTTAATATGCAAATTTTTAACAATTAAGAATCCGAGAAAATGCTTAAATTAGAAGAAGTTTGGCAGTAAGTGATGGGGTCACATCTGGTAGGTGGTGTTCCTTTGGTAATTTCATGGGTAATTTGTTTTTGATGTTCCAAATGTTCAAGTTTGAAACATGCGGAGCAACAGACCATGAGACAGGTTAGACTTGCAAAGTATGTGGTCTTCTTAATTCTCCCTGCATGGCCAGACTGTACTCAGCTAAAGCCAGAGGCTTTCTTGTTGTAAAGGTGCGATGTGATATCAGTATCACATTCTCCGCTTCATTACAATGTGAGAACACATTAAATGATGAAGTATGTTTTCGTTGGAATCTCTTTTTAAAAACTATAAGCGTTAAATTAACTCCATTGTCAAAAAATCTCTTTCTAACACTGCAACAAAAATGTCTTGGTAAAAAATGTTGATATTATACCATTAGCATTCCTTCATAATGCTGGAAACAGGATAAATTGGCAGTTTTCAGACAGGTTTTTTTTTTAGGAGGCAGCTTTTTTTTGTTTGGTGGAAACAGTGCTATTGACGGTCATACAACCGAACTAAAGTAGAGTCATGGGGATGTTTTATTGATGCGGGGTGTGTCGGAGATCAAGAATGTGGTGTTTTTACCATAAGATATTTGTTTGTTAAGGGAAATGGTTCGGCGGTGTAGGCTGAGATAGATATTCCTCCACGTATTTCTGGTTTCAGAGTGGAGAAATGGTCCCACAGGTCCCGTTCTGCTCCAAGATGAGGAGTCTACCACTCCCTGCAAGGATGGCTGGCGCCGTTATAACATGCTGTCATATTACAAAGTAACAGATGGCGCTTACATGTCTCTGCTGCACCGGCAGCAAACCATCAAGTCTTTGAATGGTGAGTGGAATCCAGCAAGAATTGGTCAACTTTTAGAATGTAACAAATATTATTCTAAATATTTGCAAATGTTTGGAATTACCATTTACTGATGGAAATGAAAGGAAATTAAAATTGATGTATTTCAATGTTGTGTTTCTGTAATACCTGTATCGGGATGTATATTATTTGTGAAAAAGGTTTAAGGTTATGTAAATTAGTTTGAAAAAAATTATATAATTGCAGTAATGGGGATTTATTGATAGCGAGTTACTCGTGTACTTGCATGTGCAATAACATTATTGTCGTGCAGTATTCACATTGTTCTAGAACAATAACCTTCTGATCATGATTGATGTTGTAATCATGTAATAAATCCTCATATTGCATGATGCGTTGCCGTATTCGGAGCATGGGCTTCGACATATGACCTAGCTTGATTTATCGGGAGATACATTCAGTTATTATCATCGTCATCATCATCATCATAAATCTCTTGTGAATTCCTTCGTAATGCTCCAATTCCATCTTATAATAATGCCATAAAAATACTTCGATGACTCAAAAAAAAATGGAGTGGGTTCGAGATAAGGTTATTAATTCTTAATGTGATTTGGGAATACCTGGACCAAAATGTTAAAAGCTTTTTTGCTTGTCAGGTGGAATTGATATGTTCCAGGGCTATAAAAAAACCGAGAGAAAATAGTTTAGTTTGAACTGAAAAAACATCTATTGTTTCTACGTTTCTGAAGTTTCCATCAGTTATTGTTTATTTATGACACTATTTGCATAAAAACTGTTTTTTCTCTTGCAAATATATATTCAGAAGTATTTAAGGTTAAGCATCGTTTTTGCTTGGCTCACAGACTCATTAAGATGGTTTTCTGCTCTTTAAGTTGGAACTAATAAAACAAGAATGTCACAATGAGAGAATAAATCAAGAATTATGAGTTATGGACCAATTATGTTGCAGACAATGAATCCCCTTTCAGACAGCAGCTTCTTATTATTTTCATAATCTTTAGTAGAATGTGAAAAAATATGTACACTCAAAAGAAGTTAAGGAAAATCCAATTTTTCCATGTGACTGTAGTTAATCTGTCAAGTCATGACATGTTTACTGTAGTCATATGGAAAATTTGGGTGTTCTTTATTTTCTTTCGTATAGTATACAATTTTTTGAATACCATACCTCTGTTACATCATAGCCATAAATACCAATTTCATCACCATAAAACCCTTTAGATTTTCAACAGAAGTACACTTAACTGTCACCCATTCAACATAGTCTTTAGGAGAATCATATCTCACGCCCAATAACATAAAACATATTGGACAAGGCAAATCTGTGATCCATGAAGAAAACATTGTCATTAATAAGTGCATGAGCTGGCTTTATTATATTTAAACATATATCTTATCTTTTTCTTGTGTTTATACCAGACTCCATGTGTAGATGTAGCTGTACTAGTCTGCATGGTTCCCTCCGTGTGTGATATATGGAAGTTCGTATGAAGGCTTATTATATAAGTACACCTATGTATTTGGCTTGGTTTTCACAGGTTCATTAGATAACACTGTTATGTCTGTGAATTCAGCCTTCCCCATCATGAAGATGGACAACGACCCCGGCACCCGCCATTGGCATCTCGTAAGTACCCCTATCCCATAATGATCATCCCTCCTTAGCCTGTCTGATTGGACAGGTGATAATTAACCCTCTCTGGCTCGTCAGACGGAGTATTGCTGTGGTATTAACTCTTAATGACGTGCCTAATGTATGACTGATACCGCTCTTAGTATGTGGGTTTTTTTAACAAAAAAAGATTTTTTAATTATTTATTTTTATATTTATGGAATTATTTATGATGTTTAATAATTAACAGTGCAGGGGTTAAGTTATGGAAGCTGCTTGGTGTAATAATGATTATTAGATTGTAGGGAATTAGCTGGACCTTTTATGCATTTGATATAAAGGATGCTATTTTATGTCAGTAATAGACTTCCTCCAATGGTTAATAGCATAGATTTGCATTATTATTATATTTGTCAAGATTATCCTTTGATGTATTCTAAATACTTATGAAAGGGATGAACTGTTATGAGACCTGCCTTTGATCATGGTTAGAAACTGTCCTGACATTGATGGCATCCAAACAGATAAAAAGGCTATGTCTAACTCTTAGCTTGCAATTAGTTGTATGGAATTCATTACCATAAGAGACTGCTGAAGCCATTGGCAATACTTTTACAGGTTTATGTACCGTTTCTGAAACTATCTTTTAAAAAAATCACAGTTCACATAGGGTAAAGGGGTGGTTGGGTGGCCTTGTGGTTAAAGCGTTCACTCGTCACACCGAAAGCCCGAGTTTTAATCCCTACAGTGTGTGAAGAGCATTTATGGTGTCCCCCGCCATATTGCTGGAATATTGCTAAAATTGGCATAAAACAATTCTCATTGGGTAAAGATTAGTAATAGACATACTACTCAAATTTTGATAGGGATACAGATATTTCATGCTATAGGGATATATATCCCTGTCAAAAGCTGACTAGTATATATGTTATTTCTCCAACTGTTTTCACTGTCGTAGACTTGTAGGTGTTGAACTTTGGGGTAACCTTGGTTTAAGCATTTGCTTGACTTGTCAAAGAATTCTAACTTGGGTAGTTTTAGAAGAAATGTCTTGGGATTCCCTGATTGATGCTTCCATGCTAGATGTGTATAGCTCACCTGACTAACTCACTCACTGACTGACTGACATTAACCTTGTGTGCATGTTTCAGGCCAAGCATGATGATGCCACACAGAAGGATGGGGGGGTCAAAATGATTTCTGAAATCTTCCTTACCAGACTTTTGTCCACAAAGGTAAGTTGCAACACAGACTGTCAATCCATTTATGATGAAACTCTTTAAAAATGCATATCGATTCATTTTGTTATATATTTCAAAAGATTTTCACAAAAATCAAATTAAGTTTCTGGGAATATAGGCATGAGATATTCAAACATACAATATCGTTGTACGGGTTCACATCTCATTCGATGTGTTTAAAGATGGACTTAAGCACAAAAACACATCTTTTCTGATTTCGAGTTAAAGTTGATTCTGGTTTTCAAATTCTTTCTGTATGGATACCAAAGATCCCAAATTGACAAACAAAATGTTTCTCCCTCACAGGGTCTTGTTTTGATAACTATCTTAGCGCTAAGACTGGAACTCCCATACTTTAACATCCCATAGTTAGACATAGCACTAAGATGCATTCTCTGTAGATCTAGGCCAGTTCCTGTGATTTTTTATTTTCGCTTTTTATTTATATATGATGTTTTATCGCCAGCTCTTTCTATTCGTCCATAACACTGTTTTAAAACAAACTAAATTTGAAGTTAAATTCATCAAGGACTTCAGTTTTGACTGAAAATGTTTGTCAGCACCATACCTGTACTTGTTGGTTTCGCCAAAGTGCATCACTTCTGGATGTCGTTCTACTTCAAGCTGACACACTGTGATATAACTGAAATAATGTTTGAACTGTGTTAAATCCAAATCACATAGACGACCTGGACCTTGACCCCTGGAAATTCAAATGTCCATCCTCGGAGCAAGTCCCCAAGGCCGTCCAGACTGGCCATACACACTCCAAGGAAATAAGTCACTTGACCATTAAGGACTCAAATACCCATGAAGCTCAGATATACAAATGTGTTCAAACAGTAACAAAAGGTCATTTGTCAATTTCTTCAAGGTACTTCTTTACGTTGTATATGATTGAAATGATTGTTTTTGCAGGGAACACTACAAAAGTACATCGATGATTTATTCAAGGCAATGTTGAGCACCAATCATACAATGCCGCCCATCATTAAGTACCTGTTCGACTTCTTGGACCAGTCAGCTGGGCATTACGGGCTGACAGATCCTGATGTGGTACACACGTGGAAATGTAACAGGTGATTACCGCTCTCCTTCGCTTAAGAAAGAAACTGTGAAAAATATGCCGTTTCCTCCCTTTTATGTCTGCTTTGATGTTGGGCTTCTTAAATCCAGTAGTGCCTTGCTAGCATGTAGGCTCTGGGGAAATGTGGTTAGTTCTGAGGCAATTACACTCTTTTGATATTATTTTGGTATTAATGCGTAACTCAATATATTTGTAACACATGCCACATATGATATGAAAGAATTGATTATCAATTTGCCGTATGAACATACTCTGTTTCCTTTGATCTCTTAAAGCAGAAAATGGAATATTATCCATCACGTGAATAATTAACTTAAATACAGCAAATAATGTGAACTGATACGAAATGAAAAATTGAAGATTAAGTGGTTCTGCTTTGTTTTCTTAAACAGCTTGCCTTTGAGGTTCTGGGTGAACATCGTGAAGAATCCAGACTTCGTGTTTGACATCAATAAGCCCCATATTGTAGACTCATGTCTCTCAGTGGTGGCACAGACTTTCATGGATAGTTGCTCCACCTCAGAACACAGACTGGGAAAGGTAAATAAAGTTTACAAGGCCTTTGCATCTTGTAAACTCATGATAAGCATAAGAGGTGACATGAATGGACACCCTTGACCCTGGTGTAGGAGCCAACTGAGCTTGTAAAGTCCTGTACATCCGCTAGTCTAGTCATGAAGATGTCAGGGTAGAATAGGTCTTCAGCAACCCATGCTTGCCATTAAAGGCTACTATGCTTGTCTTCAGTGGTGACTAATGGGATTGGGTGGTCAGGCTTGCTGACTTGGTTGATGCATGTCATCATATCCCAATAGATTGATGTTCACAATGTCAATCACTGGATTGTCTGGTCCAGATTCCATTATTTACAGACCGCCGTCATATAGCTGGAATATTTCTGAGTGCAGCGTTAAACAACAAACAAACAAAGAAAACATCCACTTGTGGGCTGGTACTATAAGACCGGCTTTAGTTTGGACTAGTACAAGCAGCCACACACGTGAATGTATGTCGCTAAATAAGCGCAATAATCTTGAAGGCAACTTCTCACCTCACCTCACCTCACCTCACCTCACCTCACCTCACCTCACCTCACCTTTTGTTTTCATGACTAAGGATATTGCATATATGTGATTTCATCTCCCTAGGACTCTCCATCCAACAAGCTGCTGTTTGCCAAAGATATCGTCCACTACCGCAAGTCTGTAGAAAAATACTTCCAGGACATCCGGGATCAGCCGGCAGTCAGTGATCAGGACATGAACTCCTTCCTGGCGGAAGTGTCTCGGGTGAGTGCTGTACCCGCTGTGCCACCTGGTACTGGGGGTACTGATGTAGGGGCTGTGGGGTAGTTCAGGTGTTCAATTTCTACAGGGGTGCAATGTGGGAATTCCATTTCTGGTGTCCCTCGCTGTGATATTGCTAAAAGCGGTGTAAAAACCATACTCACTCACTCACTCCAACCAAATGGACGGGGTGGTCTGGTTAAGCGACTAGCGTGTCATCATACCCCAATGTCATGGATCATGGCTCACAATATCAATCACTTGATTGTCTGGTCCAGACTTGATTATTTACTGGCAGATGTCATATAGCTGGAATATTGCTGAGTACATTGTTAAACAACAACAACAAACACTTCACAATGTGACTGTGCAGGAATAGGTCCCCAGTAGCCCATGTTGATTGCAAAATAATGAGGATTGGTTGGTTGCAGAGTGTCCTCACTGATTGTGTTGTGCTCATACTGTCATCCATTGGTTTGTCAGGCCCAAATTATGTCAAATTAGTTGCTGGCTGGTGTGACATAACTGAAATATCGCTAACTACATTATCAATCATTCTCTTCCTTAACATTGTAATGTCAAGTAAAATATCTTCCCGATAATATCATAATATCATCCCAAATATACATTAAGTGTTATTGAAATCAGTGTGTATGGACTGGAATATTAATCCTGTCTCGCTAGAGTGAGGTTATCTTATTTATTGTGCTGGAACTGGAACTGGAACTGGAAATGTTTAAATTTGTACCGCCCAATATTTTTAGACTTTTTCTGTTGATAAATTAAAAATAAATGTGAATATTTTTTTTTTTTGTGAAATATATATGTATCATTTAAGCTTAAAATGGAAAACAATGTCAACAGAATCTTTTTTCATAACATGTTTAATGTTTTATTTATTTGCGAGACTATGGTTTATATTTCATTTATTGTGTGTGTATTTCAGATGTGTACAGGGAAGTTCTATATATCCAGTGCTTTGAGGGAGTTGTATTCTTACGTGTCCAAGTATCATTCAGAGGTGAGTTCATCACAGGCAGTTGCGGGTCATAATTCTGAAATTGGTTTGTATTCTCCCCAGGGATCTGAGAATGAAGTTCTAGTGAACACTGATCCATTGACCAGGGTGTTAATAATGAATAATGTAGTGCTGCGAGGATGCATCAGTGGGCAGTCGGGGCATTACATATGTCCATCATCATCATCATCATCATCATCATCATCATTTAATGTGAAGACTATTTTCAAATTAATTTGGCACACATATTTTTCGTTTGAAATATTTTATTTCCAGCTGTTGAAAAGTGATGGATGGTTTTCGTATAAAAAACAACATCTTTCAAGATATTTATTTCAACAGCTGAAACATTTATGTAACTTTCAAAACCTTTTTCCCTCCCATTCTCATAAGCTTAAGTCACAGAAATCTTACCAGATATTTCAAATGTATTGATTTGTTGGGCTGAAAGTGTATGTATTTTCCCATAGACACCATAGAAAGAAAAACTGTAAAATACATTAGCTACAACATAATACATGCAGCACAAAATAATAAAAATGGTTTTCAAATGGATTCACAAGTCGGCCAACAATCCGCTGGAAGAATATATATAAAACACATCCTTAGTGCTCTACTCATCACGCACAGAAGTCAATATTCAGCTTTTTATCATCTTTCCTATTTTGATTACATAGTTTCATATTCTCATCACAACTTGGCTACAAAAAAGTAAACCTATTTAAAATCACTCATTTTGGCATAACTGGGAGTTTCAGATGGTAATTTCTTTTGATAGATGATAGGCCTTAGTGTAAGAAGTGACATTATTGATTTCTGTGTTTTTGATCATTGGGAAATAAATTGTAAAGTCATCAATTTGCGCCGAGCAGCAATCAATGTAAAAATGGCTGGTTACTTAATGGAGAGCGGGGATATTTTTGTATGTTTCATAAAATGCCAGGCGGAAGTGCTCAATTACACATAGCGTCTATTTTGGAATATTTTGTGTGGAATTTTTTTTAAATGTTCTGAAAAGCAGTATGTGGTAAATAAACTGTTTCTGTCACTAATGGGGAATTAATGGTAAACCATGACATGAGACGACGGTTGAAACTTTTGGATTATTCATATTGTGCATGTGACACATAGAAATGGCTCTTTTATGCTGATAGGTTTTAGACCAATTCAGACATTAAAGTAAACTGACAATTTGGTTGAAAAATGTTCTTATTTCGATAACATAACTGCTCACTATGGTTAAGTCTGTGAGTTCTGTAAACTGAGTTTGAAAACTATATCAACAAGTTAAGATATTCCAAAGAATCTTAAATATATATTTTATTATGTAAAGACTGACTGGAGGAACATGGTAGTCTATCATCTTACTGCATCTAGAGGTGATTGGGTAGAGGTGACTGGGTAGAGGTGACTGGCTAGAGGTGACTGGGTAGAGGCGACTGGGTAGAGGCGACTGGGTAGAGGCGACTGGGTAGAGGTGACTGGGTAGAGGCGGCTGGGTAGAGAGGTGACTGGGTAGAGAGGTGACTGGGTAGAGGTGACTGGGTAGAGGCGACTGGGTAGAGGCGGCTGGGTAGAGAGGTGACTGGGTAGAGGAGGTGACTGAGTAGACATGACTGGGTAGAGGTGAATGGGTAGCTTTGGTGGTTAAAACATTTGTTTGTCTCATTGAGCCCCAAGTTTGATTCCCCACATGGGTGCAATGTGTGAAGCCCATTATTTGTGTCCCTGCCAGGATAGGAGAGAGTACTGCTTAAAAGAGCGCACTGCAAAACTGAATCACTCACTCTGGTTGTAAAAACAGTGCTTGCTTCTGACAAAAAGTACTGCCAAAGGGTTCTTGCAAACTGAAGAGAGATTCCATATTTTTACAAATGTGTTGGAGACAACGAAATGTTGAAGACTTGTCATACGGACAATAATTGACGTGTTGAAGCTGAATATATTATTGGTGCGATGTACTATCCCTTAACAAAGTGTCCCTGACAGCCATGCGTGCAGTGAACACAGTTTGAATATCTCAGTGTGATATTTCATTGGTAACATTCTCAAACAACTAGTGTTGCACATTACAGATCATCTTGTTCTTGATGTCATATTTATCCATTTGTCCTTTCCTCCATAACAATTACTGTTGTACATTACAAATTTTAAATGATTTTGGTGTCACATTTCTTCAGACATATTCCTAATAACTTGTGTTGTACATTACACATCTGAAATGATTTTGGTGTGAAATGTCTTCAGACATATTCATTAACAGCTACTGTTATACATTTCAAATCTTTAATGATTTTGGTGTCATATTTCTTTAAACATGTTCCCTTACAACTGCTTGACATTATACAATACAGATCTTAAATGATCTTGGTGTCATATTTTTTCAGACATATTCCCTTAAAACAATTACTTTTATACATTTCAAATCTTTAATGATTTTGGTGTCATATTTCTTTAAACATATTCCCTTACAACTGCTCGACATCATACAATACAGATCTTAAATGATCTTGGTGTCATATTTCTTCAGATATATTCCCTAACAACTACTGTTGTACATTACAGATCTTAAATGCTCTTGATGTGGACAACCAAGCAAGTGCTCAGCAGCTGTCAATGAGACTGGAGCAGGTCATCACTAACATGGAGGGGCCATCCAACAAGACAGCGTACGTGTGATGGCGACACACACACATGCACACACTCTAGTCCGTCTTCTTTCGCTGGCCTGCTCTGCTCCTCTCATCGGAATGCATTCTACAATCTAGAGGAATAGACCCCAGATACACTGACACAGATCCTTGTGAACATGATGAAGATTAGTGTAGTGTTTGAGGATGATTGAGACATTCGGAAACTATAGAACTAGAGAATCCGTTTGACGGATTACTTTGAATATCTGTGAGTTTGTATGTTGTGACTGAGAGGGAAATGTGAATCATACAGACAATGGTATTGAGAAGATCGGTGCGATCCTACTGAATACGTTTAGGAGAAGTCTTCTCTGAAGGATCCGATTATCAAATATAAGAATAATTGCCAGTTATTGAACAGATTGTGCTTTCTATGGTTTCCTGAATCCACTGTCACTGTCACAGCAGATTCCCCTAGACCAGGGGCTGATATTGCTCCTTCATCTGTGATGGAGGTTCATCGTTGGATCATCGTAATGTTGTGAGATGGATGCTAGACCACGGCTAGCTGTAGAGACCAATGACGGAACTAACACACTGGCTGATTTGTGATGGTGCTATGATATTGCCACGCTCCTGACCAAATGTCTTTCAATTTTTTTTTTGCCTGGATAATATTTCAACATTGAGATTAGGGGATGCAGTTTTTGGGATTTACATGAGAGAAAGACACAGTCTTGCCTTCTGAGCCATGTAGCCGTAGGCCCCATAAGTACCTTCTGTGGATGAAGAACGTTCGTGTGTTGTATATTCGCCGTCATAAGTGAATCCTGTTTCTGCAACATCAAGGTGCTATATGGAGGCTGCCTGGAGATGGACAACAATATGGCCGCCTCTCATCTTCGTGGTTCTCTCAACCACAGGTGCTTCTGAACGAAACGGTAATGGCCTGGCTGATAGTCCTGTCGACTCCTTTCTTCTGTGGAGGTGTTTCTTCTGGAGATGATGCTGTCAGATAGATATCTACAGCCCAATGTTCACGATTTGCAGGAATAAACATACTGGCCGTTCCATCTTTTCTACAAGCTCCTGTGAGGAAAGGATGGACCATGGCAGATTCTGATGTACTGTGAAACAGTAGTATAATTATCATATCACTTTAACATTGACTTTGTGGTGAGATTGTAGACAATCATTGTAGACCGCTGTTAGAGGACATCGTAAGTGCCAGACAAATAGATTAATATATACTGACTGGAAAGAGACTTACAAATGTAGTGTTACTTGTGCGACCTTCAACTACCAGTGTGAACTAGGCAGTGGTAGAAAGACAGCTTTGTACAACTAACTTTGGACTAACTGTTTGGATGTATTATTACGCTCTTCAACCAAGATGAGATGGCATTTCAGGAAAAGCAGGACTGTCTGACCACAAGGTTTTGTTGTCAATATGGAGTGGCCCAGCGGTTAAAGCTTTGGCGCCAAAGTCCTGGGTTTGAATCCAAATGGTTACAATGTATAAAGTTCATGTTTGGTTAAAAAAAATATGCTGGTAAAAATCTGACGTGTAATGTCGACTTATTGTTTGAAAAATGTTTTAGTCATAAAAAAAACCTTGGATTATGTTTAATGTCAAAGCGATCTTTATCGTCAGTGGTATAAAAGAAAGTCTTGTCAAAGAAATACCATCCCATCTTTGGTGAAGAGTTCTGACACAAGTCTCCTGGACACTGTTAGAGCAATATGTCTATGTATATCAGACAGAACAGCCACAAGTAGCTTCATCGTGACCTCCTCATCTCCATCACTTTATGCAACAATGCCGACATTCCCAAAGGTGCCCTAGCAAGTGACTGGCGGAGACGTCAGTTTAAGACTGTGTGACATCATAACCACTTGTATCCTTGTATCTATGCATGTAGACATGTAGTTCACGTCTAGGCACATGTTGGCTCCGTTGTTCTGGGTTAGCAGGAACCAGTTGCACCGCAAGTCTCCCTCACCATCCTCTAGATTGGTCACACTGTTCATTATAAATCATATTGCTTTACTTATCAGTTTGTTGCACTGTTATATGGATTCTGAGATACTACCGACCTGCTTGTTAATCAAAACAAGACTTTGTTATTTCATGATTGGTACTTTTTGCACAATTAACCGCTGTATAATTTAGCCTACACACTAGTGGCCGAGTTCTCCCTTCATGGTAAATTTGAAAAAAATATTACTTTATAATGAATCTAGATTGTTTGGATTCTTATGAAAGTACATTTTCTCCTCTTTCAGATGAATGGTTACACTTGTTAAAAATTTAAATGAAATTTAATTTTGTTGAATATGTTGAATGAAGGGAGAATCTGCCTTTTTCACCACCATGAGATTATGCACTGTATTGTTGAGCTAACTCCCCAAAGACTTATGCAAATGACCAGTATTATCTGCATACTCCCCAGCTCAAAGTCCCCCACTTCTGGAACTGTGGCAAATCTTACCAGGCATGTAGCACTTTTAGAACCAGTTTACCATTTCCACCAAGCTTGGCTGTTGTCATCAAACTTTACAAATTCAGCTAATTCCTGTTTGAAGATACAGTGACGCCTGTGCAAACTGACATCTGTGTACTCCATGTGGAATAAGGGGTGGTGGGGTAGCCTTATGGTCGAAGCGTTCGCTCATCACACTGAAGGCCTCGGTTCCATTTCCGACATGGGCAAATTATGTGATGCCATTGTGGTGTTCCAAGCCATAATATTGCTGGAATATTTGTTAAAAGTGGCATCAAACCATACTCACTCACTCATTGATCTGACAAAACAATTTCGTCAAATTGCTTGAGTCATTACTCTTTTGCGTAACAGTACTGAGTTGAGCATTGGCTGCCTGAACCAAAAAATCTTGGACTCCGTTCCAAACTCGATCGGTTTCTTGCTGCCATCATATGGCTGGAGTGAGGTTGTTGCCGGTAGGGCAGGACTCCCTTACTGTATTCATGAACACCAGGTGTCATCACTTACATCCACTGATCTATCCATATAATTTTCATCACTAATTTGTCTGTTACGCCAGTGGAATCTGTTCTGGCAGATAATTGGGACTGATTCGTCTCTGGTGTTGGCTTTCTGAATTGGACGCAAACAGATGTCAGTTTATGCAGGCTCCACTCTTGACAGCATTATGTGTTATAGCTCATCAAAGACTCCACATCAGTTCACACTACCCTGAGCAGGTTAGCCCCAGTTTCTGTCGGAGCATTGTATACTTATATATACATATACATATATATATTTTGTATATTCTCATGGAACCATCTGTATATGCCCATTATGACTTGCCTAAATCTTGTAAATACCACTAATCCGTCATAACTTTATTGTTACTAAACATTTTTATCATTAAGAATTTGCCCTCTTGTATTGGAGTTTCTGAATCTATCTTGTACATTTTGCTCTGAGTGTAAAGCTCTGTACATCAGCCCGACTTACTCTGACAAAATGTGCTTTGTGCAAGAAATGAGAAAGACGTGTTAAAGAAAATCTTTAGCGTGTTTGTGTTTTATTTATTACTATTTTCATAATAACACGAGGACCATTGGACTAATTTATGTCATTAAATTAATTTCTTTAATGAATTATGTTAGTTTAATTTAATTGTCAAATGTCAGGTGATCTTACGATTGTTGTTATTTACTTTGATACTGACATTGGTGTACACTTTCATATTCTCATTGCCATAACCAGTGTAGGATGTTGTCATGGTATATTGATTTGTAATTCTATCTTATTTATTAATCAGCCAAATTCAGATAGGGAGTTTATCCCTGATAAAGAGTCCCCTGTTTGAGTTTTTGTTCTCAAATCAAAGAGTTTGTATTGGCATATATTTTGTCAGATATATTGAGATTTTGTTACACCTAACCAAAGGATCTTGAAAGCCTCTGATATTAGTGCTTTTTAAAAACGGATTTGCATTGAGAAGATTCTCATAATATACCTTTGCTATCAAAGCGTGCAGTTTTGAAATGTATGTTTCCTCTGAAACTGCATCTTTTGTATGTTGACATGGTTTTACAATATTTGAAGGTTCATTCCATAGTATACTGATGACATGTATGCTACGATGTTAGCTTGGCTGTATGTGTGTGGAGAACTGGTCAAGAGGGTCTGCCTCTCATGTACTTCCAATGTCAATAAATAATTCATTTTGTACAAATTAACACATTGTCTGGTGTTTTGGTGTGAGGATGGTAGACTTTGGATGTACACCTGGATGGGGAGATTTCAGCCTGTCTGTGATATAGTAAAGTGCTAATGACTTTCTCTTGTCGCTTTCAGGCAATAGTAATTGTGTCTGGGGCATCTGCAAAGGAGACATGTTAGTAAGGTGAATTGATTCAATCATGTCTAGGTGGGTAGGATGCCAGTGTCACAGTTTGGTAAAGGTGACATCCCTTTTTACTGAGGGAACCGCCTCTGTGGTCTAGTGGTAGAGCGTCCACCCAGAGCGAGGTCCTGGTATTTTTGCTATCATCAGATTTTCAACAGAAATTATTTTAGTGTCTTGCTGCCCAAAGGCTGTTACCCATGTGGGGTTTAATCCCCAGGTGCATCATACCCAAAGACGTTAAAAGATGGTTTTTTTTGTTATTCTGCCTTTAAGGGGATAAAACAAGTACTGGTTGGCTCAGTCAGTATACTGTGTCCGAGTGGGGTATAAAGGTTGAACTGCGGCATGGTATCTCAGTGGGCTAGCACTATAACATCGGCATTAGTCTGGACTAGCACACACACGCACGCACGCACGCACGCACGCACGCACGTCACTATATATATTCAATAATCTTGGATGCGATGTTAAACCCCATTTCACCTCACCTATTACTAGAGCTGGGGTGAAGGTGGTCATTGTGGAACTAGCCTCAAAAGTTCGCTGGCGCTTGGCATTAAGGGGCTAAAACAAGGACTGGTCGGCTCGGAGTCAGTATACTGTGTCTGAGTGGGGTATTCATGTTAAACTGCGGCATGGTATCTCAGTGAGCTAGCACTATAAATCGGCATCAGTCCGGACTAGTACAAGCAGCCACACACACACATACACGTGCATGCACGTCGCTATATAAGTGCAATAATCTTGGACGCGACGTTAAACCCCATTTCACCTCACCTCACCTCACCTCACCTCACCTCAAAAGTTCGCTGACCAGGTGGGCTAGGTACCCTTAAAGGTAAAGCCAGTTTTGAATTTCACTAGCTTGAATATGTGACATTCCTCCCTCTTCCGGGTCAGAATCGTATAATGGACTCTGGGGATAGTAGAGATTTCTTATGATCATGGAAAGGGTTTTGTTGTTCTTATTTAAACAGGACAGGTGTTGCCTTCACCAGCATGTGATGATAGGAAGAGTTTTGTCACTTTTATTTATTGAAAGATGACCACCAGGACACCAGACTGAAGACTACCTCACCCAACACTGACTGTTTCATCCTCCCAATAGCATAGCTAGATGGTCACTTTAGGCAACAGGAGTGTTAGTTGAGATTGTTTTCTGCAGCATATAAGATCAGGTCTCTCACTGTCACAGTACCTGGACTGAAATACAACTGGCCCAAGTCACAGAGCCATACCACCAGATCCAAGTCACAGAGCCATACCACCTGATCCAAGTCACAGAGCCATACCACCAGATCCAAGTCACAGAGCCATACCACCTGATCCAAGTGAGAGAGAGCCATACCACCAGATCCAAGTGAGAGAGCCATACCACCTGATCCAAGTCACAGAGCCATACCACCTGATCCAAGTAAGAGAGCCATACCACCAGATCCAAGTGAGAGAGAGCCATACCACCAGATCCAAGTGAGAGAGCCATACCACCTGATCCAAGTGAGAGAGAGCCATACCACCAGATCCAAGTGAGAGAGCCATACCACCTGATCCAAGTGAGAGAGAGCCATACCACCAGATCCAAGTGAGAGAGCCATACCACCTGATCCAAGTGAGAGAGCCATACCACCTGATCCAAGTGAGAGAGAGCCATACCACCAGATCTAAGTGAGAGAGCCATACCACCTGATCCAAGTGAGAGAGCCATACCACCCCTCCAATTAAGTCCCCTCTTAGGACACAGCAATAGAGCCCTGGGTCTCCACAGGGACAGTTGTTGGAAGGGAACAGAATATTCCAGCTATATGACGGCGGTCTGTAAATAATCGAGTCTGGACCAGAAAATCCAGTGATTGACATCATGAGCATCGATGCACGCAATTGGGATACGTTGACATGCATCAACCTAGTCAGCAAGTCTAACCACCAGATCCCGTTAGTCGCCTCTTACGACAAGTATAGTCGCCTTTTACATCAAGCATGGGTTGCTGAAGACCTTTCTATGTACTCTTGTTGTGATGAGCCAAACCATTAGACTATCCGTTCCTCCAGGTATTGCAAAGTGAACATAATTCCTCCCAATATCCACCTGGGTTACATCACTGCCTTAAATCCTGTATTTTTGCTGTCATCATGCTATGAAATCATCAGATTTTCAACAGAAATTATTTTAGTATCTTGCTGCCCAAAGGCTGTTACCCATGTGCAAGGTGGGAAAAATCACTGAGGTAGCAACAACATCTGTAGAAATGTAACAAAGCTCTTCCGTTTTGGAGGTTTTTTTAGTAATTTGTCAGTGAGTGTTTGTTGTTTATCGCAGCAGTCGGCAATATTTTAGCTACTTGACCAGGGCCTGTTGATCGAGTCTGAACTAGACTAACCACTGACTACGCAACGTCACAGGCCTTCAGTACCACACGTAATAGCCAAGTCTCAATGAGCCTGACCACCCGATCTAATATGATCGCATCTTACCAGCAAGGCGTGTAGTCAACCTCTTGAAACATCCCATTTCAGGCCAGGAAACGTTCAAACAAATTCAAATTCTAAGACAAACGGTTTTGATCTACGTTAAAACTAATACTGAAGCCACATCTTGTGATCAGAGTTATTGAATGTATGAGTAACACAGGCCTCTGCTACAGATGTCCATCATACTGCCATACAATATTTACAGAGAGGCCCCATATGCCAACGGCGCTGTAAAGATTTATGTCAACCGTTAGAGTACAACAAACAGACGACCCTGCAACATACCTAGAAATTGGGTCGCATACATACTACAAACGAATCAATTTTCCAACGAATGTCGTATCAACGGGATTTGCCTTCTTCACTTTCCCACTTGGGTTGCCCCGTTATGATCTCGTTTACTGCGGAGATTTGCGCGAATCGATATAACACCGCCACCACTATTCTATCATGTTGAGCCAATATTTTTTGTCACCAAAAAAATGGAACCTTGGCAACAAACGCTCAGTGCGAATTGTTCCTCGCTACTAATTATATAATTGATAAATATGTTTAAAATTCATGAGGTATTATATTGTACGAGGTGCACGTTTTTCGATTAAAGTCAATTCATCGTTTTGAGACAACCCTTACGTGAATCGGTACACTAAAAATGATGTTCTAGATTTGAGAAAATTGTTTTGTTGCCACACTGACGGCGGCCTGTAAATAATCGAGTTTGGACCAGACAATCTAATGATTGATACTGTGACCAACGATCCACTCTGTCGGGGTACGATGATCACCCAATTCATTTGGTCCTGTTACGACCAGAATACGTTGCTGGAGACCTATTCTAACTCAGAATCTCCACAGGGCAGAATTTAGACAATAACGGTTGGAGTACATAATTTGCACATTTAAAGTAATTTTCTGAGTTTCCTCTCGTGCATGTTACCAATTTGGTGAAACGTGATTGCCCGAATTTTAACAAGCCGTACGGAGATTTTTACACAAGCATCGTCTATATCTTCTAGCATTGACTGTGTAAGGTCTATTGGTGTAGAGACGCGAGAAAGGTCAAAGCAGAAAACACAAATGGATAACCTGAATTTCCCGTGATATTTCCAGCAGATTGGTTTCATCGGTTTACTTTGGTTTCCAATTGTCCATAGACACAATAATATCGGTTCCTGCAATAAGATCCTTACTATTCATACTGAACACATCTCTGATGTAGACCGGTGATTATCATCGTGACGTGGGGATCAATACTAGCTATGATCACACCAATCTTCTTCATACACAATCATAACCCATTGACAGAAGCTCAATAGCGCTCCGTATGTACTGACATGCAGTCCCCAGCATCACCGGATATGACCTGTCATATCTGGATTCAGCCTGTCACACCGAGCTCAAGTCGTCTGCTGTAGACAAAGACCACCTAAAACTGGATCGACCGAGTCCTTGAGTTGAGTCACATGAAAGGTGGTGGGCCGGGTGATTACATAGCTTTGTTGGTGATTATGTCATGAGGTTTCAATTCCTGCTCACCGCTGACATTCCTCCAAAGTCCACGTCTGCCGTTCTGTAATGAAATGGTTTGAGTAAGCAATGTCCCGTAAGAAGGAACCGAGTCCGTCTGCGCCAATAACTGTAAGAGAACCTAAGGCAGAACAAAAACCAATCTTGTTTCCACTTACCACTAGATTGATTATTTTAGATCATCTTCTTTTGAGCGATTTGGACAAGCTTCAATCTCATGGTGAGATCTTAAATTACTTAGGCATTTCAAAAGAGGCTATATCATCAGTTCGAATCGTGTAGTTTATGTTCTCAAAAACGTTTCTTGTACCACTAAATTGGAAGTGTTGACATTCGCCGACCCTGCTTCCCAGAGCCCGGTTTTAAATGGTGAGGTGAGCTGAGAGATAACGATTAATACCCTGCTCTGTCATTTCATTTCCAGCTTTTCTCGACTGTTCTGGGTGTAATTTGAACATCAATTCCATGGAGACACGCAGCCCTGCCAATGAGCCCCGGAACCATGACAAACATGAGAGGTTCAGTATGACTGGGATGATACCACATGCTCGTGGACTGGGCTAGCATAAACTGCCATCTGCCGTGAAAAGTTTCCGTATGGATTATGGGACGGATTAGGGCCATGTTGGACGGTGCTATGTAATGGCAGCCGGTAGTGGTAATTGGCTCCCGAATGTGGGTGGTATTTGGATAGGTGACCGCCAACGATGCAACTCGCAATTGTCATTTAACTACAGCCTTGGTATGGTATGTCGAGTTCATCCGACGGCCCTAGCTGAAACCTTGGTCAGTGCACAGGACCATGTAACTAATTATAATATTAAACAAACTAGC